TATTTTTTTCGTGCTATACTTACATAGATCCACTGCATCGTAAACAAACACTGACATTGTCACAATGCAATTCTCGAGATCTCACGGACAGCCCCTACAGAAACCTCGAGAAGTGCAAGAAATGTTACAGATACCCGTTTGCCAATCGTCACTTGTTTCACGAACATTCAGCGTACATATAAGAATATGGATGTTCACTCTGTGCACAATGCATCTTGTCTCTACGTCCACGTCTGAGCCCAGGAAAGAGGTACTTGGTAACTTCTACAACTTCATGCACTAACCTGCTACACACTCGGACAATTCAATGCAAAGAATGTGTTGTTCGAAGCCTGAGACCACGACTCCTGCGTTTGACAAGCAAAAATCATTGTCGCATAGACATGCAAACTGAACAGTGAAGCTCACTATGAACGTATCAATTCCCACACAGATTACCACACCAAACGAACCAAGCTCCGCACGTCCTAGCACGGATACACTAGCAAGCATTGTCACCCTCAATCTCTAACAGTTCCATGTCGTGCGGTCAAAGTACACACAAAATCTTTTACACACGAACGCTTTTACACACAGACGCTTTTACACACAAAAGCTTTTACACACAGACGGTTTTACACACAGACGCTTCTACACGCAGATACGTTTTACACACGCACACACGCTTTCACACACAAACGCTTTTACACACAGACGCTTTTACACACAGACACTTGTACAGAAACGAAAACGTCCATCGCATTTTTTCTTCAGTTTTTGACGTGCAACGTCCATTTCGTGCGTAAGGGTTGCGATTGACAACTCAAAGTCGCAATTTTTCCTCAGTTTTTGACGTCCAACGTCCATTTCGTGCGTAAGGGTTGCGATTGACACCTCGAAGTCGCAATTTTTCCTCAGTTTTTGGCGTCCAACGTCCATTTCGTGCGTAAGGGTTGCGATTGACAACTCAAAGTCGCAATTTTTCTCAGTTTTTGACGTCCAACGTCCATTTCGTGCGTAAGGGTTGCGATTGACACCTCAAAGTCGCAATTTTTCTCAGTTTTTGACGTCCAACGTCCATTTCGTGCGTAAGGGTCGCGATTGACACCTCAAAGTCGCAATTTTTCCTCAGTTTTTGACGTCCAACGTCCATTTCGTGCGAAAGGGTTGCGCGCGACACTTCAAAGTCGCAATTTTTCCTCAGTTTTTGACGTCCAACGTCCATTTCGTGCGTAAGGGTTGCGCGGGACGCTTCAAAGTCGCAATTTTTCCTCAGTTTTTGACGTCCAACGTCCATTTCGTGCGAAAGGGTTGCGCGGGACGCTTCAAAGTCGCAATTTTTCCTAGGTTTTGGACGTCCAACGTCCATTTCGTGCGAAAGGGTTGCGTTTCGTGGCGCTCCGGCGGCACCGCCCCCGCCTTAAGAGAGAATAGAAGAAGAGCGAAAGGAGATCTGCAGATGTGAAGGTGTGAAGATCTAGATCTGCAGGTGTGAGGGTGTGAAGATCTAGATCTGCAGGTGTGAGGGTGTGAAGATCTAGATCTGCAGGTGTGAAGGTGTGAAGATGTAGATCTGCAGATGTGAGTGTGTGAAGATCTAGATCTGCAGGTGTGAGGATGTGAAGATCTAGATCTGCAGGTGTGAAGGTGTGAAGATCTAGATCTGCAGATGTGAGGGTGTGAAGATCTAGATCTGCAGGTGTGAAGGTCTGAAGATCTAGATCTGCAGGTGTGAAGGTGTGAAGATGTAGATCAGCAGATGTGAAGGTGTGAAGATGTAGATCGGCAGATGTGAGAGTGTGAAGATGTAGATCTGCAGGTGCGAAGGTGTGAAGATCTAGATCTGCAGGTGCGAAGGTGTGAAGATCTAGATCTGCAGGTGTAAAGGTGTGAAGATCTAGATCTGCAGGTGTGAAGGTGTGAAGATGTAGATCTGCAGGTGCGAAGGTGTGAAGATCTAGATCTGCAGGTGCGAAGGTGTGAAGATCTAGATCTGCAGGTGTGAAGGTGTGAAGATCTAGATCTGCAGGTGTGAAGGTGTGAAGATCTAGTATAACGGCTGCTTTTTTACGAAGAACCCTTCGCAGGCGCTCTCGGGAAAAAACACGATCGAGACTAGTTAGTTTCGAGTAGAAAACTCCTTTTCTGGCAAGGAAGCCACCGTGACGTACAAATTATCTACAGCATGGCATGCAATTTCCCCTAGTGACAACAAATGACCAACCAATATATGTATACATATATATATAGGAAGCAGAACTCGTATTCTCCGATTTTGTCAAAAGAAAATCCTTTTCCTTTGGGATAAGTTTCATGCAGTATCAGTTATTCCACCTGTCAACAGGCAAGCTGCGAAACGACGGTCACATCCTTTGGGGTTCAGGAAATTCATGCAATCCTCAGCAGAACAGTGTGAGGGGCTCATTTCAACTGATGTCATAAGCAAAAATCAGAACAAACTTCCAAGTGCTTGGAAGTGCAGTTTCAGTTCCAGTAGTAACTGGATATATCAGCATAATTACAGGATGTTATAGGGGTATATAGAGGTTATATACCAACTTCTGGGGCAAAAAATACCATTGTTATAGCCATAAAAGTAGCCTCAACTGCTCATACCACCCATTTCTAGCAAGTCATTGGTGACAACATCCAGCTGGTGCCCAAGTCCCACTGGTGCCGGCTAAGTGAGGATCAGCATCCAGTTTCGGGATCGACCCATTCAACTTGGGATGGAATCTATAAAGAGAGCGAGAAAAAAATGTGATCCCCATGGTTTCGTGATTTTGAGCCATATCAAATGCTCCAAAACTAGCAACCAGTTTACTCACCCAGGTAAACTAATGGAAGAATCCACACAACAAAAAAAAAATATGACAGACTCCAGCCCAATAACCAAGAATAACCAAGATATACCAACATCAGGGATCATCAAGGAATCGCCAAGCATCGCAAACATAGGTGCCAGCCTCGCAAGGCTTACCTGATGGCTGTCACTTAAAGAAACATCACCCAATGCCCATTTCGGCCCATTTCGGAGCATCCACCGCACCGAACATTTGAAGTCCCTGAAGTTGATAGTTTGCTGATCTTCGTCACAAGTGCAACAGCGCCCAGAACATCCCAATGGTCCGAAGATTACGAGGAAAACCTCAAACCAGTCTGGGTTTCTCACATCATCTTCCCCATCTTCCGGTGCCCCTTTGGATCCCATCGGAGAAACCCACAAGTGCCACAGCCTAGCTGCGTGTGAAGGGATCAGTGCCAGTGCAGAAGTTGCAGCCCGAGTAGTTGGTGTATCGAGAATCGACCTGGACTTGGGGCCAGATTCAAGGGGTTGGCTGGGGCGATTTGTCGCCTGGGGCTGGGAAGCATGTTTTTTTGTAGAGATGGAAGGGTTGCAAAAGAAAAAAGACAAAGTCCTGAGTTTAATTCAAGAGATTGATCTGAGTAAGTTGAGTTGCATGAAATTGTTCTGTCTTCCAACTTGAGCATCTGTTTTCGAAAGAATGGAGAAAGGGGAACGAGGGCAAGGTGAGCTCTACCATGGTCCAAACTACCCTGGAGTCGGTCACCGGGGCAATTTTCATCAGGTCACCATGTTATCCGAATCAACTGACCCAATGTGTTTTTGATATGTGTTTGATATGTTAAACGCAGGTCAACTTACCCATCCTGGTGGGACTTGAATCCCCATGTTTGTTGGTTAACATCCTATGTTTTGCGACTTGAGTCCCCGTTATTGTTGGTGTAACCCTCATTCTTGCTGGTTTAATCCCCCCTTTTACTGGGTTAAATCTCCATGGTGTGGTCCATTCCCCAGACCGCCCAGGCCTCCAAATGCACTTCAGTTGCCACCAGCCCCTGGACGGGATGAAAATATCACCTGGAAATAAAGATTCGCCTCCTCCAACCTCTAAAGATACAAAAAGATGTGGAAAACCCACCGACTGGGTAGATCATTTTCCCAGGGAACCCATGGGTGTGCCACGTCTTTTTGGTATGTTTACCCCAAGGTATCAACTGGAAATCTACTGAAAATCTCCTGGGATTCCTACACCAGCTGGAAACCTACTGGATCACAAATTACCAACCGACTTATTTCACAGGAAATATCGGAAAATGCAGGGTGTCCATGTCCATCGGATTGCTACTTGAACCCCAGCAGTGAATTTCTGCCAAAAGGGCCAAGGGTTCAAGGGGTTGTACGTTTATAGATATTTTGTTCCTCCTTTGGCACGATTCATCAGGTATAACCTAGCAATCCGGTTCCCCTAGGAATAATTAAATTACCCCACCAAAAAGTGCACCCTGGTCTAGTACTGAACTCATGCATATTAGGGTCCTAAAAGGCCACGGTTCAAAACCGTCAAAACTCCAGTCATCCCCGGTGCATGTTCAACACCCCTATGGTATGGTCCCAAAATGTGTATATATATATATTCCAATCACCTGTTTTTTACGATCATTCCTGGGGAGTAGATGATGTTAGGGTGATAAAATTGTTCACCATACTGACCATGATTATCCCCGAATAATCAACCAAAAAACCTCTCTTGGCCATTAGGGGAAAGGGATTAATCTGGGCAAATTATCATAGATCACTAACCTGAAATCAGGTCTCTTCTTGGGATAATTTCCCTTACTAATTAATCAGGTTACATATATATATATATACATATAGTGTAATGTATATTATATATATACCAGTAATACCGCACCAGGTGGTGGCGGAAGTTTCAAAGATAGGACACTATAGGAGAGGTGAGTTGTTGTGACGCATGGATGGCAGAGCGAATCCACTGATGGACCGAACGGTGGTTGGAGTTGTGTTTTTTGAAACGGTTGCAATGGTTGCAGTGGTCACCTCACACACAGCTGCTGGATGTAGCGTGGTGTAGTGCAGCTGCAGTTGTAGTTGTAGTTGTAGTGTAGTTAGTGTAGCGTAGTGTTGTGTAATGTAGTGTAGTTGTAGTTGTAGTCTATTGTAGTGTAATTAGTGTAGTGTAACGTAGGTGTAGTTGTAGCTGTAGCTGTAGTAGTAATAGTAGTTGTAGATGTAGTTGTAGTTATAGTTGTAGTGTAACTAGTGTAGTGTACTGTAATTAGTGTAGCGTAGTGTAGTGTAATTAGCCTACTGTAGCCTAGGAAATTTGCATTTGTAGTTGTAGTGGTAGTGTAGTTGCAGTTGTAGTTGTAGTTGCACTTGTAGTTCTCTATCTATCTATATATCTATCTGTCTGTCTGTCTGTCTATCTATCTTTCTATCTATCTATCCTGTCTATTCTGTCCGTTCTGTCTATTCTCTCTATTCTCTCTATCTGCAAGCTGGAAAACAAAGCTATTCTGCGAGAAACCCTCAATTTTTGAATTTGACAACGTCAAAAACGAAGGAATTCTGCCAGACTTCCTTCAAAATGGAAAATTGAGTGCAGAGCTGACGGCCTCGTACAAATGCGTTGTGCGATTTTTCCACTAGATCTGTCTAAAGTGCTGCACCTGCCACGAAAAGTGATGCCAGGTCATACAGAGCGCTGCGCCTGTCACGCAAAATCATCTTAGCAAACCTGAGGATTCTGATGCTCCAAAGTGCAATCCCTCTCAGGAAATCAGCGCCCTGACCTCCTAGCATCTCTGATGAACATGTCTCTTGTACTGCGCCTGCAACGCGACATGCATCTTTGCAGATCCTCTTCAAGCGTCCCACGCCTGCCATCGTTTTTGGAAATGCTACAAAACCCTCACGTTTTGCTCACTTTTGGCAAGGCGCAGAATCCCTTGCCACGCAAAACCACATCTGAACCTTCAACATCTTCAACAGTGGTCTGAGCATGTGGTGCTTTTAACATTTTGACTTCGAAAATGTGCTTCGCGCAACAACGGCGTGCGCTTTTTCGACATGTCAACTTCCAAAAGCGGTCCGACGCTGAGGTGTTTGTACATTTTGACTTGGAAATGTGCTTCGCGCCACAACTGCGTGCAATTGTTCATCTCTCAGCTGGCCAGATGGCTCCGCACCCGCCGCTTTAGCCACAGTGATTCGTGACTTTTCTACCTTTTCGCGCCCCTGCATCTTCTTTCTTCTGACTCTTTCTCTTCTCTGATATTCTTTTTTCTGACTCTTTCTCTTCTCTGATCTTCTTTCTTCTGACTCTTTCTCTTCTCTGATCTTCTTTCTTCTTCTCTTCTCTTCTCTGACTCTTCCCACCTCTGCTTTTCATCTGTCCATATTGTCGCAAGTTTGACTTCTAAACTTCCTTCGATAATTATATAATATATAATTTAAAAAAATATATATATATAATTTTACAATTTATATATATATGTAGATGTAAAAACAGTATATATATATGCTGGTATTTATATATATAAATCCCATGATATCTCCATGAGTATACCATGAAACCACCATGTAACCACAATGAAACCAGGGACCCTTCATCCCCCAAAAAACAAATCTGGTCACCAGCGCTGGTAGAGCCTTGGAGAGGTGCTCCGGATTCTGGCACTCGAACTTGTCGTAGAAGTACGATGGGTCGGCGCACTGAAGCGGCCTCAGCGCGGCTGAGGTGTCAGGAGCCCATGATGGAGCATGGGGGAGCCCATAAAATGGCATATGAACCTCTGGTTATTTAAGGTAGCTATGGTATTGGGGGCTCATTTATAGATCATTTAATGATGATTTACCGATTGGCTAATAGTAAAAACAATGATAAAGACCACCCACATGACTTGTTGGTGAACCAAATTGATGGAAGATGCGACGCAAGAAGGTATGGGAGATGGATGTAACCACAGTGAGTTCACCTCCATAAGTTGGGATCTTAGCACGTTCACAACGCAGAACGCAAAACGTACGTTCTGGAACGCGTGTTCCGAACGCAGGGGTGTTTTTAGTGGTTTTATGGATCCCAGAAGCGTCCGAATCCTTTTGTTGCTCCCTGCAAAAAGGATCCACTCTAGCACATGGAGTTTCTCAAGAAGTTTTCAAGCAGTCCAGGAGCAAAACTTGCAGGCTTTAACCTGCACAATTCTTTTAAAACCAGGTTTGGCCTGCCCAGCGCTTTCTAAAGCCTCTAAAAAAAGGATTCCATCTTAGGCCTGCCCGACCTAAGGTTTTTTGTCCAAACGGTTCTTCTCAGCAACACAAAGCAACATCAAACCCTAGAAAAATCCTTTTAATATCTCATATATCCCCTTCCCACTAACTCTTATCCACTTATCCACTTAATTATCAATCCGAATCCAAACATATCCCATCAAGGTCCAAGTCATGGCCCAGATCGCTGATCAGCCTTCTGGTGGCTGCATCTACCATTTTGAGCCCACAAGAGCTCAACATCCTTTTTTTTAGTGGGGGAAAAAGGTTTCTCTGTTCAAACCCCGGAAATAAATTGACTTTATATCATTGGAAAAAAGGATTCACTCAGAACGCGCGTTCTGGAACGCGAGTTTTTAAAACGCGCGTTCTGAACGCCCAAACGTACCGAACGAACATGCTAAGGTTGGGATATAACCCCTTTTTCAATGTGGATATTTAACCACTTATTTCACTGGAACTGCACCTAACGTAGGGATGGACACACCCGAAATGTGAAACCAGCAGTCGGTGGCCATAATCTCCATGGGGGAGATCACCTGCCCAAAATGGTGGCGATATTTCAATCTGGGGCTCTGGTCCTTGGTGTAGATTATATATATATACACATATTGTAATTATGTATATATGATTGTATATGTATACATGGAGGTTCATTTTAGGGTATCACCAAATCATCCATTTTAAAAGGATTTTCCATCATAAACCCCCATTTTAGGAAACTCCCATATGCAGATAGTCAGTGGAAAGTGGACCATCATCCCAAGCAAAGGATTTTAATGGGATACATAGCCATTAAATGGGATTCTATAGGATTTAATGGGATACATAGCCATGGGGAAATGGCCCATTAATCTAATGTTAGGTTTATGTTATAGGGATTTTAACGGGATACAGTACATCCTTTTGGTAATCTAACAAAGCTATGGGAAATGGAAATGGCCCAGTTGTAGATGCTGGTTTTCCATAGTTAGACTACCAACAACAGCATGGATCAAAATGGGATAAATGATCAGTCACCTCAAGTGATTCAAGGAAAGAAAAAGTTTCCCCAAACCAAACAGTTTCGGTCGGTTTCACTGAGATCGGTGCAGTAGGAACTGATCTAGCTCGAAAAACCTGGCTGACGACAGTTTTTCGACGGTTGGGGAATCGAACGGCCCACATTTCTGAGGAAAGTGAAGTGGAAGACGTGGGGAATCGCCAGAGTATGGTGAGTGGAAAGTCCTCGTTTCGACAAGTATACCTATAATATATATATATATACAGGAAATCTTCCACAAATGGAAGAGTTGAACTTGTAGAGAGTTTTTCCGGAGGCGATATTTCCAACACCGATGTCCCACGGGAATGATGTTTCACCATTCCCACTGGATCCTGATATGATTCATTGTGCTGCTGGGATTTCCTCGAGAAACATCTGCCATTTTTCGGGCACTTGGACTTGAACCACTCCTGTAAAAAACAGTGATGTCACATCACTGATGTGACTTTTTTTCAGTAATATGAGGTTCCACTCGGGATCAATCCAGCCAGAGTGTCAGAATGCTTCATCCAACATCTGGAGACGTTATCATCGATATGTTGAATTAGGACAGGTCAACATGCAGGAGATCGTGGACTTTGAGCAGTCACGTCAAAACGGCGAAGGAAGGTTTCCAATACAAAGCGACATGTTTCTTCTGAGTAGGATCCAACCACTCGCCAGGATTAGACTGGGAACACTGGAGCAGAAAGGCCAATACTTTATCAGGGAACATGAACTTCTTATGTAGATAGATGCTAAAAAAGAAACAGTGATGTGTCAAGATTGGAAGCCACCAATTCAGAAATAGATAAAAATCAGATACAGTAGAAATTTCCAATCATTTCCACTGCAAGTTCTCCATTGTTTTTCTCTTTCTGGAAACTCACCTCCGCAACTCCAACAGCGCCAGGCAACAGATCTCCGGGCACGTCTCCAGTGTCCATGTCCATGGGAATGTTGCTGACGTTGGCCGCATGGACGTGGTAAACGGTGATCTCTTTGGCCTTGAGGCTCCAAGTGAAATCAAGGTTACTTGTCCTATATCAATGATGATCAATATATGTGTAAATATATATATATATATCCATGTAAATAGTATGTATATGCGTGTAATTGTGTATGTATATATATATATACACAAGATGTATATATATATACACACATTGTATGCATATATATATAATGTATGTAAATATTATTTATATATATATACATAATGTATCTGTACATATATATAATGTATCTATATATTCTATATTATATATATAATGTATTATATGTAATGTATTATATATAATGTATCTATTATCTATATATTCTATATATACAATGTATTATTTATTATATATAATGTATTATATATAATGTATTATATATAATGTATTATATATACACATGTGTGTGTGTTTGGCGTGCACATATTTTTGCACTATCCGTACAAAACAGTTGTACATGATTACACAGTATATATGGCGTATATATATATATATATTCATACGTATCTTGTGAAGAACAATACTTGCATTTTTTAAGGAAAAAATAAACACAGTATGTTATCCTAGTTTTATGGAAATGTGATGAAATGAGTCATGTGTGAAAGCATATATCATATCACATGGTGCAATTTTCCAAGGGGATCATCCTCCACTGCTCATGTAACCAATCCTCCCAGAATTTGTCGCAACCAAAACATGGGGTAGACCCCAGAAAGGAATGATGAATGGCATCGAACTTTGGATATTCCGGTTGTCAGTGTACTATCCCACTTCATTGGCTATGCAACCTTCCTAGTTTTCTGTATGTATCTGCAATTCTTGCAAGTTCTACCAAGCTCTATGGCAATATCCGTACTGCGCAAAGGCCCCAAATGTTGCTATACACATGTCTCAAAAGTGTGGTTGGATGCATTCCTGCTGTTGTAGGGTCGGTATTTCCATGGTGCTTGTTGAGTTATGTAATACCCTGTGTTCATTGCCACAGTTTCTTTTCTCATTTCGATCAATTGGTGGTTTCTGCGCCTGCAATTGTGTTCATTTCATGTATGTCCATGATTATGGTTTCATATACTTTTGTAGTATCACCCTTTCTGTCGATATTCCTGTAAAAGGCATCCCGAGTTTGCTTGGCAAACGGTCCATGCCATTGACATTCATTGGTTGATATCTTGAATCCGACAATTGATTCTACCAATACTGACTAACTCATATAACATATATATATATTTATTTATTTATTTATTTATTGTGTACACCTTTTTTATCCTTTAACTCATACGGACTCATACCCTCCCAAAAAGAAAACGGACACATCGCCACCCTCTGAGTGTCCGGCATACCTGGGGTCCACCTGTAACCGCGGCTGCGGCGCAGCACGGAAGCCAACACCATCCCATCTTGGGATTTTAATAGATTACGAATGGGTTATTTTATGGATTATTTTAATAACCATCCATTATAATCATTAAAATCCATTATATTAATCTAATGGATTATGATGGATTATGATTATGGGTCATCATTGATCATTAAAATAATCCATTAGATTACGAATGATCATTAATGGATTATGAATGATTATTACTGATTAGTATTGATTATTAAATGATCAATGGATTATTATTAATGATCAATGGATTAGTTTTAAAAATCCCAAGATGACTATAATGGATTATTTTAATGATCAATGATCAATGAATGATCAATGGATTATTGTAATGATTACTAATAATTACTAATGATCAATGGATTATGAATGATTATTACTGATTACTATTGATTATTAATGGATTATTAATGGAGTATTAATAATTGCTAATGAATCTAATGACTATAAATTACTATAAATTACTATAAATGATTATTCATACTTCATGAATTTTAGTAGCTATGGATCTTTAATGGTCAGTGGATTAGTTTATTGTGAAACCCCACCTTTACCCTCTGGGTACATAGCTATGGATAATGGTCCATTGTTAAATTTACCAGATGGGAAATCAAAGCCATTGCCTTTGTGATGTTCATTCTTGTTGCATGTCACCCAAATCCACTGGCTCACAAAATCATTGTCCCAATTACCATCTGGTTATGACAAACATAGCCATGGAAAGATCCACCCATTTTTAAGAGGTAAACCATCTATAAATGGGCCATCTATACCATGGCTATGTTAAATAACCAGAGGGTATATTTTGGCGCCCAATTGTGGGTTCACCTCATGGTTGCACAGATCCATATGACAATGTCCCCGCGTCTCGTGTTTTTCCGCTCTTCATTCCATAGACCTTGCGGGGCCAGTCCCACTATCTCCAGAACCATTACTACGGAACCCCCTTGAATATCAGCGTTTCAGATACGTTCAGTTCTGGTCCCATATGGGTTTGTCTAAAAATGGGATAGATACATACATATATATATATATGTATGTGTGTGTGTGTATGTACATATATGACATGTAAATATATATATATATAATTATACTTATTATATATATATATATGTAACATCATATATTCATATATACTTATATAACAAACAATTAAATATATACCCCGTTTTCGCCCTTACAATGGTGAACCTGACCATACATCTGCGTTCCGCCCACCTGCCCCGCCGCTGCCAGCAACGGCAACAGCGCAGAGACGACGGCGCAACGTGGCGCCATGGCGAACCGCGTTTTTTTCTCACCGATGGAGCTGCTGGAAATGAGTGTTGGATCAATGGATTGGTTTTGTTGGGAAAATCTTAACCGGAAACCCAGGAAACCATAGATTTTCCCATGAAAAATATGGGGCTTAAACCTGTAAATTTTCCCTTAAACCAATCCATTGATTGGATGATGTTGAATCTTTAAAAATATGGAACTTAGGAGATTCAAAGCGTGTCTTCATGGCAGTGGTTTCAGGTGTGGTTCAGGTGTAACTTTTATACTTGCATCCTTGACATCGTAGCGCGCAGCGGTAGAAAACATCAGCGACCAGTTGACATCATCGGCCCTGCAGGGTTTGTCATCCAGCAAAAGGTCATCCAGCAAAAGGAGCTCTTTGTATAGATATAGAATTCTAATGAACTGCTACAGATATTCTCTAGTTGAAATAGCTATACTTAGTTTTCACCCTGAAATCAGGTGCAACTCCACCGCTCCACCCCTTTGATCACCTTGTTGATACGCCACCATGCTTTGACCGTAGCGAGCACTTGGGGTGTCCTGGAGCTGGAAACAGCTGGGGTGAGACGATCCCTGGGCAACTGGCAAGTTATAATGCTATCATTGGTTTATCAAATGATTGCCATGGCTATCACCACTTCAAAGCTAGGTATGCTATGATATACACATATAAATATACATATACGTACATATATAATACATAAATACATATACATATATATATATCTTATATATATCTTATATATATCTTATATATATATTATATATATATATATTGAGGATCCACCAAGCCCCTCTGACTTTCTCTTCACATCGACCTTCCCGGGCCAAGCCACCCCCGCAGAAACCCAGGGCCCTGGCCTCCACCGGGTTGGACAGAAGCCTCCAACATTCGGTTTCGAAGCAAAACTCGCAGAGGTCGCGCTTGTTGGTGTAACCTCAGGATTGTGGCTCTGTGTGTGTGTGATATGTATATATATATATATATATATTATACTATATATATGTATTTATACAGATTGTAATAATATTGATATGTGTGTGAAAATAGCTACATACATGTATACTATCTTTCTATGTTGGTATAACTGTATGTACACATCTGTACACCTGCTTGTTCATGGGACTTGGATGCGCATCCAAGTAACCGCTACTTATGACCAGTGGTCTATAGAAACCCAGTTACATGGCCACTCTTAGATACCTTGCGAAAACAAAAAGCTTTTACTGATTAGTCTGTTAGCGGATGGGTATTGTATAAAGTGTGTTATGTATATAATATAAATATATATATATATACATTTACAGACATATACATATCCCATATCAATGTGCAGCAAGAAAGAAGTTTCAACACCACCAGGGTTGACCTGTGCGGACCCATCGCCTTTCCCAAAAAAAACAGGGGGTCCCAGCCAAAGTGGGACCCAGAACCGCCAAAGATGTACATCACCTCGATGGGGCGGGTCATTTAACGATTTGTGATCTGGAAAATCACCGTGTCTGAATAGATTTAATGGGTAAATCATGGAAAATCATCATTCCTATCATCTTCACCTGGATGGGGCAATTTTCCATAGATATGTTGAATAACCAGAAAGTAATCCGGATGTGAGGGGGGTACAACTCACCAGCAATGGGAGAGTGAATATGGTACCCTCTGGTAAACTAACATAACTATGGAAAATCACCATTTTTAATGGGTAAATCCACTATAAATGGCCATTTTCAATAGCTATGTTAAATTACCAGAGGGTAAATGATGGTAAATGGATGTTCTGACAATGGATAAGGATTCACCAGGCCATCAGAAATGGGGACTTCATTGGTTTCATATTCGAAACGGGCATGCGGTATGTACAATCAATACTACTGACCCAACTTGATGCAGAATTGTTGCGTCCTTAAAGGTACCCAAATGACTTGACACATACCCACACGGGTTTGCCTCAAATGGTGGAATTGCCCGCATGTTATTACAATTTTCATGGGAAACATGAGGTTTTAAAGCGCTGAACGTTGGGTTTCTCCCTTAAATTGTAACCTGGCAGTGCAGGTTCTCATCTTAAATCATCCGACCAGTGCTCCTATAGTAAGTATGGAATTGCAGCACATCCGTGCCAAGTAAAGCTGAGATGGTTGATGTGTGTATGGTCAAGTTGCTACTTACCATTGCTCCAAACATTTCAAAATACCTTGACTCCGCAAGACAATTCCTAGGTTTGAAGTGCGCAAGGACTTTTCGGGGTTGTTTTCCAAAACCCTGAAAAAATTGACCCCAACAAATACTGGTTGGTGGTTTGAACCCCTCATTAGTCAGCTGGGATTGTTATTCCCAATATATGGAAAAATAAAAAATGTTCCAAACCACCAACCAGAAATACATGTCTTATTGCTACAATGTAACACTTGCCCATCACATTGGTGGGTTGAATCCCCAAATCTGTTTGGCAATCTCCCCATGCGTGTTGCTAGACATCCCATATCATGGCTGTGTTTGCAAATAAAGTAAGCCAAAATGTGAAGGTTTATAATTTATAATAAAGTTGCCCATTGGAAGTGCAATTTTGCTTCGGAATACCCCAACTCTTGAATTTTGACAAATTCACCAATCAATCGGCAAAAGCGTTAAAACCTCAGCCGACATGGCCAAATCGAAGAATAAATGGCAAAAATTAAAGTAGTAATGGAACCATCCAAGGTTTCCCATGAGTTGTTTGTGTCTTTGGAAATAAGTTTCCCCCCAAAAAAAACCAAGGTTTTAAATTTCATAACATATTAAAACATAGCATAACATATGCCACAATGATCACCCCTGATTTCAGAGAGGCCCATCTCTTGTTGATTGTAAATCCCATATCCACTAATATTCATTCATATCTATATCCCATTAAGTCCTCTAACTTCGCGTATTTTTTTACAGCAAACCAACCGTTCTTCCGTTCTTATTTATCAAGTTAGCTGGTCATGTCCTTATTCCTATCCCCATCAAATACCACCATGCTTGAAACACCAAATTCTTTCCATGAATCATCAAGTCCCCATTTTATTACACATTAACATGAGTACCGTGGGTTTGCTTTTTTTCAAGGAATAACAAGATAGGAACGACCGTGATCATACCATGTCGATGATGATGAAGATGATGATGATTATGATGATCCCGTCGAATTCTTACCTCGGGGAAAATGGTGGGACTTCATCGTAATTAATTACAAATCAGTACATTATGGTGGGATGTCCGTCTAAAATATAATCCATATTTCATATGTATTTCCCATAATATGATACTATGATTAATATTTCCCATATAATCCATATAATATGGATCATTATATGGATTTCCCATAATATTACACTAACCATAGGGGATATTTTCATCATTAATGATGGGAAAACACCTGGGGGTGTTAGAAGATCCAAAGATCCCATGGATGCCCATGGTTAAATCATAGACCCTGCATGATGACTGGGGCTTTTAAAGGTTGATTCGCAGGGTCGAACTGTAAGTCGGGGGAATGGAAATCAAATCAGTTCTGAAATTATGTAAGTTATATACCAGCTCTATATTCTGTGTATATATATATATATATCAACCTTGAAAAAAAAGGGATTACATCATATTGGTATCCATCTAGTGTCATTTAGTAAATGATTGTGCTACAACCCATTGTTGATCAAGTACATTGTATCAAATCCCATATGTTATTGATTATTTCCCATATTCCCCCATTATATCCCATCATTTCCCCAATAAATCCCATTGTTTCCCAGTCAAATCCATTATTTCCATTACATCCCATGTATTTGTTGTTCTATATCCATTAATAATGCTGAATTCCATGGTATAATATATTACTATACCAATATTCCTACATCCATTATATATTTCCATTACACCCCATGGTGAATTCCACCCTTCCCAGTTCAACCTCATCTTAATCATCACCCATCTGCGTGCCCGCGCCCCAGCCAGCTGATCCGTCACCGCAGAATGCGACGCCCGGCCAGACCTCGGCTGTAGGTCTTTTGCATGTAAGTGATAAGTGTATATAAGTGTATATTTTTGATGTGTGCACACACACACATACATATATATATATAGAGAGAGAGATATATATATATATATATATTATAGCTAACCTCCCCCAAAGCCTATGTAGGTCTTTCGACATGTTTGTGTTATGTTTTTGTTTGCTTTATTCTTGTTTGCTTGTTGGCAGGTACACAGTACAGTACACATCCGGGCAAATTACTTTATTTCTTAGCTCGTCTCCCGCGTGGCTTAAATTCCTCCATGGCTGCAGCGGCTGCAACAGCTTGCCTCGTTCTGTAGACTTTAGAAATTAGCTACGTGCTTCGTTATTTTTGAAGTTCAAGTGTAGCTACCTCCGGCAGCCGTCCCTTCTTTTTCTCCTTGCACAGCTACTTACGTTTTTAGAGCTCTTGCAGACTGGAAATTGGCAAAGACTTTGACACTCATGGCTGGACCGTGGCTTGACACGGATGGCGAAACGAGGAGCTCGAACGGGCCTCTTGCTGGTGGGAATTTGCAGCAGTATCATGCCCCCAAAAAAGCCGCATTGACTGCAAAAAAATGTGGAGCTTGAAAAAGAACTTTCCCGTTCGTCCACGGGATGTATGGAAAAGAAAAACTTTGGGCAGTGCAAAAAGTTTTTCCTGAACATGCCTCTTGACTGCACAAAGTTAAGCAAGACAAATGCCAAAACAAACGACAGGTTCCAAGCAAACGCTCATGGTCGGGATTCAACTCAGCACTGGATACGGACATGACTGATTGCGATTACTTCCTTCGAGTGACCCCCGCCCTGACATACTTGCTTCCCACACTGCCGTCGCGAGACTAGGGTTAAGAGAAGGGGAAGGAGAGGGAGAAGAAGGATGGCGAAAAGACAACCTCAAAAACTGTAGAAGGGTCAGCAAAATCTTTGAAAGCATAGGTTTCGTGGGGGTACCATATATAATAATGATTCGATTGTGATCATATACTTAGATTGCAATGACATAAACGCGTGTATATATATACATAATTATACATGTGCTTCTTATAATCCTGTAATATCCTATACATACATACATGTCATACATGCATCTGTATGTATGAATGCATTCGTACAGCAATACGGTTCATCTGATGTAAATCTCCATTCGGAGCAGTTGGTTGAAATCCCAATCCCAATCTGTTTGTCGCTGGGTTTAGATGACCAGCCATACGTGGGTCCCATGATATCAGTACCTCCCATAACTTGAGCCACAGCCACATATATACTGAAAAGGAACAAACAATGTATATTTGCTGATGACAGTCCCCGTATCTATATATATATATACATCATATATATAATTACATATCATATATATAATTACATATCATATATGTATATACGTATACATCACATATATACATATAATGTCAACCCTGGATTAATAAACCCCTAGATTGTTAATTGGGAGGCTACCATTTAAGTATCAGATGAAATGACTATTGGAGGAGTGTCCCCCTAATTCATAAACCATGGTTTAGTCTCATCCGGGGTTGACATTATGTATACATCATATATATAATTACATATCATGTATACATAATTATACATATACATATCATATATATATAGTTATCTGTATGTCATATGTCTAAATTTGCTGTTCCCATCTCCATCGGCTGAGTCCTCCTGACGGCCGATCCCCTCCAGCCTCGATGCGGCGCCAAAGCCTCGCCACGTTTGGCAGATTTCATGATTTTCATGGGATGTTTTCATATGTTTTCCATATCTTTGAATGGGATCTATACAAATAACATGAATGGTAAAAAGATGTTTGGATGGGATTTAGGCAAAAAAAAGAATGGGGTTTCCGGAGCTTGTTCCGGGAGCTTTGCTGGTTTTCAAACTTTACAAGAACATGTGGATGAAGCCTAAAACAGGGTGAATCCCATCAAAGTTCATCTTGGAAAAAGTGAGATCTCACACGGTCTGACTCTGAAGATGTTGGTTGAGCTGACGAATATACGGATGGAATCTATGAAGATGGGAATGCACAACGATGATATAACCAATGGGGTGACAAAACGGAAGATTAGTCAAGTGGCGCCAGAACATGTTCCTTTGAACTTCAATAAATCTCCTAAAATGTGGTGATTTTCATCAATAATCCTTGATGATTTCCCCAACATTACCCCTAATCGAACCCTTGGTTTACCATTGGATCGATGTATCTTGGGGTTCCCTGGTCCCCATCCCCTGGCTGCGCCTCGTTTCCAAGTCCAAGACATAGAGGTCGTCGAAGCAACTGGAGCCATCGAAGCCGCCAAAGATGTACAAGTACCTACGAAGCGGGTAGCTCAGATGCCATATAGAATTGATAGAAAGAATACATGTACTGTATCAGATACCATCTATTATATCATATCATGAATATGCATATATATATACAGTATATATAATCTATCATTTTTGACGTGGTAAACCATCCCTAAAAAGACCATCAATGGGTGGTAATCATCATCCAATGGTCGTTGTTGGCACTGAGTGAATCCCACATCCACGGATCCCATTGCTCGCAAGACAACTCGTTAAACCACGAGACCCTTTGGTTATTGAAACCGCAAATTGGGGTGCCCCCATTTTAGGACATCTCCACTTTTTCTGGTAAATCCATGGTTGTTCTCCATTTTTTGTGGTAAATCCATATGGTTTTTAAGCAGATTTATGAATCTTGATCTATGGGGCTGCAGGACTGATGACAAAACTGATTGAAAGCTGGTGAGTTCACCTGAGTTCACTGGAACTGCACCCCCGGGGGCACCGGTTGTTGTAGAGGGCACAGGTATGGCCGGATCTGCTCTGCGGCACCTCCAGGTATCCAGGTATGGCAATATTCCTGATGTGTTCATTGTCAACATCTTGATATATCAAGTAATATCAACATGTATCAACTATATGTGTTGATTTTCTATATACATGCAATATTGTCATATATATATATAATCTAGAACTATATGATTATCAATATGAAAGACCGTGATATCTCCTATTACTATTCTTATCTGGTGCTTGACAAAAGGGTCTGTCACGAATAAAATGTCGATGTTGCCTTCTAGAATCAGAACCTTCATGAAGGTATGAAAAAGAGACGGATACACCCATTTGGAATCTTGAACTCACGGGTAGCGTAGGCCTCAGGTGCGTGTGAGTTGTATACTAATATTCATTTATGTGTTTGTACATATTTATATATATATATATATATACATACGTATATATATATATATATACATGGAGATGTAAATACAGATATGTAGACATAGATAAAGATCTACTTAGTGCATGTTCCAACATCCAGAAAATTCAGTAGTGCAGCAGAGTTCAGCAATACTTTCTGCAGAGGACAAACATTTCGCCACCAACCTCATCCCGATATCCATCTGCACTGCAAAGGGGATTCTTCTTAGTCCCTATAAGCATTATATTGCCAGGATGCTCATTTACAAAGGGAATGATTATATTATTGATGATCTGTGGATGTTCATTTATATTTGTTCAGTTTTCGGCTTCTATATATTTTTGTCTGGTAGTCAAGCATGGCACTGGAGAAATCTGCCGTTGATCTCAATCTATAGATGAATTTCCCATGGGAAAAGTACCAATTTCCCAGCCATGTTCGATTGTCAGAGGCAATTTTTCAGGATGGTTCAGAAGCTCAGAAGGAAGCAGCTTGACAGGTGTGTGTTTTTTCATCCCTCATCCCGAAAAGCTCGTCGACCAGATTCATCATAACAGATCGTGTCGTAAAATACTAATGTCGCAAAGCCGATGCCATAAGCCACCCCCAATTGAGGTTTCTGATTGGGTATACATACACCCTTTTGGGATGTAAAGTCATCCCCAAGTGGTTGGTTCATGCGATGGTTTATTTTTGGGTTTACCACATTAAAACATATGAAACCGACCAACCAGATGAAAACGAAAATGTGTACTTCGCATCCTTGATGGACATAGCTGAGATCAATAAGCTAGCTAGGCAAAGCATAGTCCCTAGCAGAAGTGAAAATCAATGAAACTGGATGGAAGTTTCAGAATGTCTGACTATGATTTCTTGGTATATTCCTATCATACTGACTATATAATGTCATAGGATTCCGATATATTTGTATTATAGAAATTATAATAATACCTTGTATAGGTTACATTTATAATAACTATAATTATATTATAATGACACTATATATATACATATATAATCCCGATATGTAACCAGATAGAATTCACCCTCACCGTCAGATCATCAGATCCGCCATGATCCGCCGCACACCTCTCCCTGGCAATCCAAGAGTTCCCAACACGGGTAGTTGAGCCCCTGCCACCGCTGCTGTTGCGATTTTGAACTGGGGGACTGCCCAGAATGAGGTATAGATGGGTATGATGGGTTAAACGGGTCAAAATAGGTATGGACGGTATGGAATTATGGATGGGTATAGATGGGTATAGTACACCCAAAAATGATCCAAACATGTCATGTTAACATGTTAATTCACAGGGGAATGATGGGGTGTACTCAAGTTTTGAGCAAACCCAAATGGGCTGAGATGGTTTTGACAGATTTTGGTGAAGATCAACTTTTGGCGAGTGCACTGAAGGATATGACGTGTTTTCTTCTTCGCAATCCACTTCCAGGAAGTGTGCTGCGTTCAAAAGTTTTGTGGAAGTGGTATAATCTTCTCATGGTACAGTTTCGTCTTGTGGACCAATGGCACCGTATCCTAATGAACAAAGGCTTGTGTCTTTCTGTGCAACTCCAACTAGCGTCCATGTTTCACGTCCAATCCACGCGTCTTATCCAATGCATGCGTGCTTTCTTGCACTTCCTGAAAAGACTTACCCTCTGGTAAATTAACATAGACCCTGGCAGATAGGGTTTGGAAGACTAGTTTCCTCTAAAAATTGGTGATTTTCAGGGTCTATGTTTATTTACCAGAGGGTATCAGAATGCATCCTTGTTTGATGAAGGGAAAGCTCACATACATATTCAAAGCCTTGGTATCCAGCTGTTCACATCACAAGAACGAAGAGAACAGTTGCTGTGGTGGAACTTGACCAACTGCCAAATCACGTGGTGGAAACTGTCTTCACCCCAATTTCGTTGCCTAACTCACGACCTTTTTGAGTTGAAGCGCCAGCTTTGTGGCTTTCTAAACTTTCCACCTTTGTGGGTTTTTTCAAGAAAATCCAGGCCATGTCATCCATGCCATCCATGTCCCACCATGGGATTCCATGGGCGCCTCAAACGCCATCGGAAGGAAGGAATGACTAGCTCTTCATATCGGTCGTTGCCGTACTAGGCTGGATATGGCTAGACTATCCCATGGGCCATAGCCTGGCTATGGTGAGTTGGAGAGCCAGCGACTTCTTTGAACGAAAAGCACAGTTCAAGAGAGGAGCCCTCTTCCACATGATGTTTCTCAAGTTATCAGTGTTTAGAAACTGTTCCATTTTTATCAATAATTCAATTCTAAGGTGCTCGTTTGAACTTCTGCCGAATCTGCCAAGCTCTGTCAATGCTGTCATGGAGCCATGTGGCAGAGGAAATCCAGGAGTATGTTCTCTGCTTCCCAAGTTATTTGACACCATGTGACATAGTGTTTTATCATGTGTCACATAGCTTAATGTGGTGTATCATATGTTTTATCATGTGACATAGTGTTTTATCACATTATATCCCAATAATGCTTCGTTCTATCCCCAACCCCCCCAGTGATGGATGGATCAAATGCGATGTGAGGTGGCACGGATGTACGTACGTGTCCAGGTGAGGTATTCGTCGTGTACGTATAATGCGTATGTGTGTATATCTATCTATATACTTATGTTTTTAATATATATATATATATGTGTGTGTGTTCATTTACTTATTCATGAATCTCTTCATACATTGATTCATGGTTTTTATTCATTTATTTGTTTGTTTATTCATGTACAGTATATACTATAGTATTCATTAATTCATGTAACTATTTTGTTTATTTTATATTGTTCGCTTCTTTATCTACGTATTTATTGATTAATTCAATATATCTTTCAAGATTTACATTGTATGCAATTTATGTGTGTATGTCTACGAGCAGATAGATGATGCATGTAAAATTTACATGTGTATATAATGATATATAGTGTGTATACATATATATATATACTACGTGTGTATAACATAATAGATATATCATATGTATGTACAATTATTAGTCTAGGCAAAGACATACGTATAGACACATGTCATATGATCATGCCGTTTTCCCCGCGCGGCTGTCCCCGATCGTCAAGACGGCGGGAACTCTGCACATGGTGAAACTTTAGAAATAGCTAGACTGAAGTCGTAGGGGATCCGAGCTCCCAGTATAGTTGTGTGGTCTGGTACAAGAATTAACTCCAGCTTTTGAATCTGTATGACTTGGATTATATAAATCCGTCAATAGTAAACTTATCATGCTCTATGCTTCGGCTTCACACATCATTTCGCAATAACTGGCAGCTCGTGTTTGAGAATCCAGCACCTTGAGATACCTTGAGCATCTTTGAGCAGCTAACGACCAGTGGTTCTTTGAGCAGATCCCCCAGAATCCAAACTGTCAAATCGACAGCGACCTCGCAGCCGGCGATCCAAAAACTTGGAGGATCGACAGGCCGGCTGAGTTCTTCCCTATCCACCGGAGTGCTGATATCAGGTGCCCCAAACTTCGCTAAGTCTGGTTTCTAACATGTTGTAACTAGCACAAAAAAAACAGGCGGTCTATCGAGTCTTGATATGTTCTATTCGATTTATTCGGAATGATTCCACCCCTACGCAGTATGCATGGAGGTCATGGGCAGGTCACTAGTTATGTCCCTATGAACATTCCAGGTCAATGGTGCACTGGATGACGCACCCCAGTCGGACAGCTTCGGACCATGAATCGTTCGCACGCGCCTCTGATGGCTGATCGGGGTTTCAGCAGCTTGGAGATCAAGCTAAAGCATGGCTTCACTTACCCTCTGGTAAACTAACATAGCTATGGAAAATCACTATTGTTAATGGGTAAATCCACTATAAATGGCCATTTTCAATAGCTATGTTAAATTACCAGAGGGAAACAGGAATACCACGGGATACCAACCTGGATCAACCTGGATTGTTTTCACAGCGGATTCACATCGTCATCTCATAACTATTAGTACTCATTAACCCCTAGCTGGCACTAATGTCATTAGTGCCATGTATCCCAGGGGTTGTATCATATACGTATGGATATAAAATGATATACATTATTATTATTAATTATTATTGCTACAGTAGATTAATGTCAGGAGTCAGGATATTGTTATTTATTCTTTAATATTAATATCATATTACGTTTAAAGATTACAGTAGTTTTATCATGTTTTATCATGATTGCTATTATTGTCAGTATTGTTACAGTCAATGATCAATCCCAAATCGGATTTCTTGGCCCAAAACGGCTTGGTCGGCCATTTTTTGCATCCCTGAATCCCCATTCTATTTTGTCAAAATGGAGGTGTTCCCAAATTGCTTATTTATCGATAGGGAAAACCACTGATTTGGGGTAGCCACATTTCAGGAAACCCCAAAAAAATGAGAAGAAAGGTGTAAATCCCCTGCTTTCCCATGTTTTTCTGGCGGGTGTTGAATATGAATGGGGGAAAGGCATTATTCGATCATTCAGGTGTTGGCACATGTTCCAAGTAGTGCTTAGCCATCAGAACTGCGCCACTTTTCTTCAAGAGCCTCAGGTAGCTAGGCCAAGTAATTGTAGACTCTCCTGGCACTGGCTGCACCCATCAACAAGCATCAGAGAGAGTAGACATGTTGAATCATATCCCAATGTGTTTGAGGACTAAGAGTCTAATATGCTTCTTGCACGAGTTTATCAGTGCCGCAGCAAGTATGTGTACAGGTGGAGATATATGTACACGTTCACGAAATCGTTTAGATAAATAGACCCTGCGATGATTTGTTGGTATGTCAGCGATTGTTTTCTACGAACCACGTGCGATGCCGACACTCTCAGATTGAAACGGCCCTGAAAAACCTTGCCCATTTCGTGTCAAGTCAGATGCTTGGAGAAAGATATATATATATATATATTGTAGATCTGAACCTATGCATACACATATACATGCGTAGAGATATGATATCTAGAATATGTGTAGAATGGATATGTGGACATACACATACATAAATACAAGGGCATGCATACATGCGCAGGACATCAATCATCCGACATATACATTGTTTTCAATCTGCGCACGGGTCCAAGCTGACAAGCCTTGACTTGACCCTTTAGATGCCAGGGAAGTTCTGGGCGTCTGGGCATGGCAGATTTTCCAAAGCAAACGCCGTAGTCTGCCAGGAAGTACCATGTCTGGTCTGGCCAGTGGTTTCAACACTTCAAAATATTGGTCAACCCCACGCAACAATTGAATGTAAAAATCAATAAAAATCATATGTAAAAATCAATTATATAGTGTAGTCAAACCACGTCAAACCCACTAGGTCATCGGATGTTCACATCCATTCTACCCCGTTTTTGTGGGTTGTATCTCATTATTAGTGGCTAACATCCCCATCTGCGTCCTCTTAATCCCGTGTTGCCGTTGCCCCCGATCAGTTTCAGTCCTGTCTCCTTGCGATCTTTCCAAGTACCTCAGGATGCATCAGTTGACCATAAAGTGTCTTCAAAATAAATGGCTTGTTGATACTGAACATTGCCAATATCTGTGGGCTGAAGGTGAGTTTGGGGTGAACAATTTCCGCCAAACTTGCATGGAACCATAGATCATGGGCTTGGTGAAAAAAATACCCAAATTGCGGCAAACCTGTCAAGTCATATCTATCTATCTTTTTTGTCTGTCTGTCTCTGTCTCTCTGCCTGCCTGGCTGGCTGGCTGGCTGTCTGCCTGCCTGACTGTCTGTCTGTCTTTCTCTATCTCTTTATCTCTATCTCTCTATCTCTATCTCTCTCTCTCTCTCTCTCTGTCTGTCTCTCCCTCTCTCTCTGTATCGTCATCCTCATCCTCATCCCCATCCCCATCCTCATCCTCATCCTTTTCACCAGTTGCTTTTTTGTTCCGAAGTCATGGAACTTGCAGCCCATTGAGGACCCAGACTCCCTCTCAATGAGCTTCTCAATCCGCTGCTTGATGAGGGTCGGCGAGGGCTGGAACCGGGATGTCAAATGACGCGTCACCTGGTCGTGTCCAACGGGGCGCCGGTGGGTGAACACCTGGGGATGTGCCGGCCTTACCGCTGGATGACCCTCAATGGATGCTCACCCAGCTCACTCCGGCCAAATACGGCATCTACGTTTTGACTCATCCACAAATCACCAGCATTGGCATGTAAGAAACAATAAGTTTGTGTTGCAACCCTCTACAGTTTGAGCATCATGATGTTTGATGCTATGGTTTTGTTCTTTTTGATGGGGTATACGGTATACCCCATTTCAATCTTGTTTTAGTGGGAAATGACTCACCCGCCTCCATAACCAGCTGATTATGCTCCTGCAGGTGGCATGCGTTGCGTCAGTTGGCTCTCCCAAAGACATGTCAACTGTGATGACAACTGTGAGACTTCACACAGAAAATGTGGGGAAGATTACTGGGAAATATATAGATATCTGAGTAGAAGACGTATCTGGATAAAGTATAATGCTATATATTGTTTCACCAACCTGAAACAAGGTCATTTGGGGAACCAACCACCATTTGCAACGTGACATCGCGACCTGAGCTTGATGAGCTACCCTCCAGCTACTTGGATGTGCCAGTTGATGTGTTCATAATCCAGATGTAAACCACAAATCATAAGGGATATGTCATGATATTTCCACACCATTTAACTATGGTTTATACCTGGTTGGTGGTTTTAACCATCTTGAAATATATTAGTCAATGGGAAGGATTATCCCATATATTATGGAAAATAATAAATGTTCCAAACCACCAACCAGATACATGTTTAGGGCCTAGGCTTAAATCACGAAAAATGCCCCTCCAATGGCCCGTGTTTTCCCCCAAAAAACCACTGTCCAGTGTTTTGCGACTCTTCATGACGCGAACCACCACCGCCTGAAGCAACGTGGAAATCGAGGGAAATCCCCGAGCCAGGGAGGTTTCTGGGGATTTCTAATCGCCATGGTTGATTTCCAGAGGGTATACCCTCTGGTAATTTAACATAGCTATGGAAAATCACCATGATTAATGGGAAAATCCACTATTTCTATGGTCATTTTCAATAGCTATGTTAAGTTACCAGAGGGTATAGTATGATGATAGTTTGTCTACAAACTAAGCCCCCACTATGGGGTATCCCCATCTATATCCCCGTCAGAGCCTGAGAGAGGTGAAAGCACACGACGCCAACACCAGGGACCACCCATTCGTCTGCTATATTGTCAACTCCCAGAATGGCAAATCAAATATTCACAGTACTGGTCTCAAACCCCTCTCCCCAAGGTTGGCACTATCAATTTTTAACACCAACTTGCTGATTTCAGCTGAGTGTTAGTAAGCCTTACTAAAAAACACTAAGATTTACTAAGCGTTTATTTAGCCTTACTAATCCTTACTAAGCCTTACTGAGGCGAAAACACCCAAAAGCCATCAAAAAATGACCGAGCACTAGCAGTGCTTACTAAGGCCGTTTTACCACTCAATTCCATTCACTCTGCTATCCAACACAACATGATTGAGCATTACTGAGCCTCACTACGCCTTACTAAGCCTTACTAAGACCATGTTCACAATAAATTCCATCCATCCAATCCAGCACAAATCCATGAAAACAAGACCACAAAAATTGCATAACGATTACTCGGTGGCCATTTCTGTAGTTCTGCCAGGGAATTACCCACGTAAAACAGCAAACAATATTGAAAAACAAATGATACAAATGAATGAAAACCAACCAAAAAACTAGAAAACAGCAAGCACTCAGTAGCGACTCAGTAGTGACTCAGCAGTGCTCACTAGCACTCAAAATAGACTAAAAACCATGAACATGTAACATGTTCAAAAAATAAACGCAGCGCGTGCGTTACGCCCCACAGGTACTTCACTATATACACGTTCATAAGGTTTGCCAAGGTCCATTTTGAGACCAAAACACAGGGAGGACTGACTCACCAGTCCAGACCCCATCCGATTCAGATCTGGCCTCCACCAAATGTTTCCGATCCTTTTCCAAGGGCGACCACGGTGGATGGCGTCACCATAGGATTGGCTTAAGGGAAGATTTAAGCGAAAACTATAGCTCAATGACAAAAACCATGGTTTCACACCATATGTCCCTGAAACCAAGCTGGTTCAAACATGGAATGATGTGGTTTTGTCAAAATTATAGAAAAAGAAAACACTCAATTGCTTGGAAATTCATGTTCTGCATTGTTGGATGGCAACTTGGGGGATACCCCATGTTGATTATATATATATATATAGACAATCATATTCCCAATGCATTGTATCCCCATAAAATGGCGCCTTTATTGTTGCTCTTGGCCATCAATTCATGTTGGATGACAAAGTCGGAGCCGTTTTAAGCACAGATTCTACCTTCATGGCCACTGAAATAAAGTTCATAAGATCTGCTTGGTGGTAGTATCCCGATTTTATGTGTGGGGAAATAGCCAATTATAATCCATTCTTGTTGTTTGATATCCTGATATCATTTGTTGAGTATGTCCCATGCATGGTTTGTCACCATTTTGCCAAATAAAATGGCCGTTGGGTAGCAGCCCAACTGTTCATGGTTCAACGCCCCAGGTATCCCCATGTATCATCCATTGATATAGTATTTGCTGAAAGTTATTCTTCTCCATTTGGAATGGTTAAACTACCATGAAACCAATCGTAATGGTTAGACCATGCCAAAATGGTGTATTCATGGTTTAACCATCCCAAAATGAAGTATGTATACTATGTAAGAACAAACAACAAACAGCAATGACCCTTAAATTGGTGGTATTGTCGTTGATACCCATCCACTCCACCAGTCACTTCGACTTTGTCCTCTTCAACAGTTGCGGGAACATCACTGCTTCCGACCGCACCACTTTCGCCCTGGCAGCACGGTTAAGCGTCACAGCGAACATGGGAATTTAACAACAACAACAACAACAACAACAACAACAACAACAACAACAACAACAACAAGAAAAGGGAATATACCACTTATATATATACTGTATATATAATTTATATAATTGTATATATATATATGTATATATATGCAGAATATGTTGAAGTACGATCTACAAGCTGCCACCCACTAATCATTGCATATCTTGTTGAAAGAAAATACAGTATCTCCACAAATCCCTACCAATCATTCCCCAGCTTGTTTCATGAATATCCCGTATTTGTTGGTCAACACATATCCCCATCTTTGGTGAAGACTTTGTTTTAACTGGTCAAAATCCCCATGTCTCTGCAATTTTGCTCTCCAAAATCTCATGCTTGCGTTATATGCCTGTTTTGGTTGGTTAAATCCCCCATGTTTGTTCCCAAAATGATCTCATTTCTGCGGTCAAAATCCACATGTCTGCAGCTCAGCCCAAATTTGCCCCATGTTGTTTCTGAAATCAACATTATTTTCTAAGTTAAATCATGTTAAAACCCTTGTTAAAACCCTAATTGCCAATGATCCGATGGTTTATAACTTAAGATCCGCCCCTTTTTTTCAGGCGCTTGGTGATTCAGATCCGCCTCCCGACCAGCCGCCGGCGTCTCCGAGCTCTTCAGCTGCACGAGGGGAACCTCCCAACATGAGCCATTTACAAAAATATCCCCAAAAAACCATCTAGTGAAATACTACTTGGTTGATGGGATAGTTCATAATCATTCATTCAAAAAAAAAACATCTCATGAAATACGACTTGGTGGGATAGTTTGTAACCCCCAAGAAGCCAGTATAAGCCCCTATACTGACCAAACAACCTGTGGTATTCTTGAGACCCCACATGACGAGCCTGCCATTAGTCTGGGGGTTGGAAGATGAGTTTCCACTAAAATTTGGCTATTTTCAGGGTCTATGTCAATTTTGTGGAGGGTAACAATCACAAATTGTTATTTAAACATGGTTGTTTAACGATAAAATATAGGGATTTAACCAGTGATGAATGAATGTGGGTCTATCTGGAAATTGGATGATTAACATGCCACCACAATGATCATTTTCATGGGGAACATGATTATATAATCATCAAATTTGGGCTCTTCCCCTAAATGTTCAAACGAACGCATATCCTGGAATTATATAGCCAACCGGACTTTTATCAACAAAAATCTGGGGCTAAACAAGAACATGGGTGTAAAACCAACCAGAATTGGGACATCCTTGGGATATCATGGGATAAAGGGCAACTTTTACGGTGGACACTTGAAACCATAGTTGTACTCCCACAAGCATGTAGGGGGTTCCTGTAATGGTTCCCTTCAACTAATTCTAAGAGTTGGTCTGACATGGGGGTTGGCACCCAAAGATTGGTGATTTACTCAGCCATTTTATGGGGGTTCAACCGTCAAGTACAGGCTTTGATCAGTGATGAATGGGTCATTGGGTCTGAAAATGCTGGAAATTTGCCAAATATGTTTAGCCATCAAATTGTGGCTTACCATTACCATTATTTTGAGACAAAGCCATATAAATCATATAACAGAACGCATGTCTAATTTAATGTGCAGTCCATAATATGCAACAATACTGGTGGTGGGACCAATCAAAATTGGTATGGCTGTTCGGCAAAACTGAGGATATGAAAATTGGGGTTTCGCCAAAAGCAATATCTTTGTTTAACGGTTGATTGATGATACAATGATGTGGGCAAATATGGTGGTTTAAGCAACAAAACTGGTTATAGAATGTAAGCAATAAAAAATCTGTGTTTTTTTCCATAGTAGTATGTGCCGTGGTCAAACCATGGTATATAGGCTATGGTCATCCCACCAACATGAGTGGGCTCCAATATCAGATATCAGCCCCTGTTCATGGTACCACCATCCCCATGGTCAAACAGTTGGATTCTATACCATCAGAATCAATCTGTGGGTTTACCCATATCAAGCACGGTGATTCGCATCAGCCTTGATTCGCACCAGCTTGCTCTCGAACTGAGGATTCACTGTAAACCTCAGACTTCGATAGTTTTGTTAAGACTTAAGAATGAGATGTTTCAATATCATGCAAATATGTATCTCCGCCAAAAGAAACAATGTCGTGTGTCTATGATGTGCCTGTATATGTATAACATGTAATGGTGAATAAGGTACATATCTTACACCTTCTTTATTGGTGTGCATGTTCACAATGTACAGACATGTTGTCAGTCCTTCGCACACAGTTTGTACACAACTATGTATGTGTATATATATATTATATAATATATACTATATAATAATATTATTTATATATATATATTCAGATGCTTACACAATGTGTGTGTGCTGTCTATACGCGAGACAGTCATATTCCAAAAAAAAAACTGAATTGAATGTGTTGCATGTATACAAATCACATATTTGTATGTACATATAATAAGATAAGACATGAAAAAGGCATCGTGGGTGCCACACAGGCTTCACCAAAGGGATTTTAGGAAAAATACATTCAAACAAAGCTTCTTCAACCAGTCAGAAGATTGTGCCCTCTTCATTTTCCATCTCATCTATTTCACTCAGATCTTGAGAAGGAAAAGACATTGGTTTATCTGGAAAATCAGTTAAGTTATATACGGCGTATCTACCCTAAAATCCAGTGGCTTAGGAGATCATGTTCCCTACTATGTTCCCTATGAAAGTGCCATGAATTGGAGCTATCCCTAGTTTCAGGCCCCCAGGGAATTCGTGTCTGAAAATCAGAATTTCAGGTCGGGGATGCTCTGGGGACTCCTGGAAGCACTACGATCCGTGGATTTCGATTTTGGACTAACTTACCAAATCAGATTCGAATGTGTTGCGCTCTGCCACCTTATTTGACCTCAAACATACCAAACACTTTCATCTCCAAAACATTGTTTTCATAGGAAATGAAGATCATAAACCATGATAAACCAATGGATCTTGGATTTTTCTGTCTTAGAGGTATCTAAGATCCATTGCTTTATCATGCTTTATCATATTTAAAATCCACTTCATATCGATTGATTAGATCTTACCTGTTCCACATCTTTATGTAAATCCCCAAGGGTAAATCCACCAAAAATCCCCATTTTCACCAGGTAAATCCCCATTTTCACCAGGTAAATCCCCATTTTCACTAGGTAAATCCCCATTTTCACTAGGTAAATCCCCATTTTCACCAGGTAAATCCAGGGGATGCCCCCGGTGAAACCCCTTGGCGTTCCGCGCTGGTCGCTCTCCTCCGGCTCCTTCTTCTCGGAGTCCCCCAGCTTCACCAGGATTTTGGCCTTGGCCGTGAGAGCTTGAAGCGGTCCCCAAAAAAGATGTGTGTAATACATTACATATATATATACATATGCCATACATATATATATATATGTATATATATATGTATATATATATGTATATATATATATGTGTATGTGTATGTATGTGTATATATATATAGATATATATATATATATAGATATAGATATAGAATATTATAGAATTATAATTGGCATGTCAATATCAAATTTGATGATCAACTATGATACACCAATGAGTTCAGATTTGATAATTTTTTCCGGTCCAAAAACACATCGCAGCACGCCGCGAGCCTTGGGGTTGACGTAGAGGCTCATCAAATGGCGTTTCAACTCCTCCAAGGGAATGTTGGTGCGCACCGCCAGGTCCTGGTGGCAGCTGTGGCGAAGCTGTGGCAATATAAAACTGTAATAAGAATGACAATAAAAATAATGATGATAATAGTACACAAATATATATATATATATATAGAATAATGATTTGAATAATATGATATAGTTGAATGTTAGTTGACTGTTGATTGATTGTTGTTTGATTGTTGATCCAGTGATTCAGTGTTGATTGCATCACAGTGTGTCAAAAGTGTGCAGCCAACTGCATTCGGAAAAGTTGCCCTATACTGGTCAGATTGCTTGAACCAGTCCATACCATGGACATGAGTTCATTTTCAGGTTCTCAAATCGCCTGATAGGTCCAGGTGGTCTGCTGGTTGAAGAGCATCAAGATGCACATCTGATAAGTTGTGACCTGGGAAGTGGAGAGCTGGAGCCTCTTATGGTGACCAAATATGACCAAATACCCTCTGGTAATTTGTCAAAATAGCTATTGAAAATGATGATTTATAGTGGATTTTCCCATTGAAAATGGTGGATCTTTCCATAGTTATGTTAGTTTACCAGAGGGTAAAAGATCGAAACGCAAAATCCTCAATCATGGTAAATTGTAAAGCTGATCTAAAAACCTCAGGAAACATGCGTCCGCCATATGGCTTGGCCACTGCTCATCTCAAGGATCTCACGCCTTTCAGAATCCACTCGCGTACTGCCAGTACTGCAACATCATATCTGCAGCATCTACCTTCAATGATTTCGTATTAATGTGGAATAAACCGGCAAACCCAGTAAATAAACCTACCATTTGCAGACGGCTATTTACCACCCTGCTGCATATACCAAGTCATTGGGTACCACAAAAATGTCCGGAGGCGTGCCATCAGAAATCCCATGTTGTTCTTTTCAGTTTTAAACTCTAACCCTGCAGCCCCATCAACTACCTCTGGTAATTTAACATAGCCTCACCATGTTTAACACCTACATAAATCATCTATAAATGGACCATTTTCCATAGCAAACCATCAACTTACCCCTGCAATCTCCGCCCGAATTTTGCCGCCCTGCGTTCAATTCATGCTTGGTCTTTGGCATCTGAGCCTCAGGGTGTCGGTCTAGCGATCCCATGGCTGGATTGGCGATGGATCAACCGGTCCAAGCGCACCTTGATGTCGGCGAAACCGTTCTGTGGCTGCCAAAAGAGCTTTCGACCTGGAACCGTTGGGCGCTGAGCAGAAACCGAACGACAAGAAACGTTTAAAACAACTCATCAAGACACAAAATTGCTGTGAAAGATATGCAAACGGAAATACAAAGATTGCAAAACAACACATAAATGGACCATAATTTAATAGACCTGTATTTTGCTCCATGTTCTCAAAAACTCCAAAGGTCTTCATTCGGTACCCGGTCCATGGGTCCCAGCGGGTGGATCGACAGAATGGGGGCTCTGGTTCCAATTTCTGCTACAGCCTAGCCCACTGATACCGTGCTTGATGCCCCATAGTTTCCACCGCAAAACAGGCACGGAGGCCTGTGTGCTTTGCCAGGTAAAAAGTTTCAAAGCGGCTGCAGCACTCCTGCAGGGTCAAGCAAGTTTTATGGGTTACCGTTGCTTGAAGCCCTTGAAACACTTTGAAGCCCAGAGATGCCGGGCCAGTCATGGGGATGTAGATTGAGAATGAAACCATAGACAACAGCTGTAAGGACAAAAATGGCAATGGTTCACACCAAGAAACACAGATGGGCTTAAGACAGGAAAGTTGGCTTTGTCAAAAACAAAAATCCTAAAATATCCTAAAATTAGGGGCCAATGTATGGCCAATGTGTTGCCCAGTCTTCAAACGTCACGTAGGTCGTAAAGAGAAAATCCAGCGGCCAGCCATGCAACGAAGCGCTGTTGCTCCTGCACTTCCGGTGGCAACTCACAGGGAGCTCCAGGAGGTCCTACCATCGTCGTGCGAGGGCTCATGGCCCGCAACAACTCAACTTGCTTGGGATTTGTTGATCAGAATTGTTGGGGAAAAGATGGCATGATATATTACTGGTTAAGTATATCATTTCTATAAATATTACTGATTCACTATGATCATTGGAAAATTTATCGTTCATTAACTACATAGCTATGAATGGAAAATAACGATTTTGTGATCGCAAATGATGGCAAAGGTACCTTGGGGCTGTGCAGAATGCTGGACCTCTTGCTGCTATCAGTGGCTATCACCTGACTTTTTCGGACTGCCTGGCCAAAATCCGCTGGTCAGGACGGAGACCTGCCAGCCGTCATGGCTCACGGAAATCCGATCACCCGCATCCACCCCGGAAACTAACAGAGCCGTTGAGAATGACCCATTTGAAGATGATTTACCCTCTGGTAATTTAACATAGCTATTGAAAATGGCCATTATTAATGGGTAAATCCACTATAAATGGCCATTTTCAATAGCTACGTTAAATTACCAAAGGGTACATATTAAAAATTGTGATTGTCCATAGCTGCCCCGGTATGTCACTTTACCAGTGTTTACTAGAGGGCAACAACGGGAATGAAGCTGGAGATGTTCCAGAAACGGAAAGTTTTGTCGCCAGGATGCTTTACCCCTGAAAAAGGAGATGCGAGGTGCTGGGTAGCGCTGAAAAGCCGAACCTGATCATCTGTGGATCGAGTAGTTCTAATACTAAACTGTTTATACATATACATGTGTATATATATATATATAAAAAGAGAGAGAGAGAGATCCCCACAAACGTACAGATATATGTATATTTAGTTTACTGATGTTAGGATATATACATATCTACTAATTCGGTATATGTATCTATATATATATATATATATATATCGGTGTATCCCTATGTTCTATCTACTGTAATCTTCCCCATCATCTCGAGTGATACCAAAAAGATTGGTGCGGGCCTTCAAGTCAATGGACGAAGACAGCGCCGGAAGCCCTGGGCACACGCCGGCGACTATAAGATTTCCGTGGTGGGAACCCCTGGCTGCCATAAACCTAGCATTTGGGGATGGTTGGAATCCCACACATAAAATTCAATGGCCATTTCAGGAACCTAAACCAGAGGTACCTACCATATATAAGGCCTATGTAAGGCCTATGTAAGGGAATATCCCCACAAAATATGTCCTTATATGGTACAGTACCTCCATTTTAGGATCCTGAAATTCCCATTGAAAAAATGATGATCTTGGGGATGGTGTATGACATTGGGTTTGCCACATAACTATATAATATATTCAAAGTTTAGATGTCCAAAAGGCATCATTACCAATGTGTTGTCAATACTCCATGCCTTGATTTGCCCTTCCGGGCCATTCTGAGGTTCCGATGTTGGCTTCCGATGAGCTTTTGATAGACTAGTGCTGCACGGTGCTTAAGAATATGAGTCGGGGTTCATCCTCCCAACTAATGGAATCCCAAAGTCCCAAAGCAGTAGCATTTGAAACCACCCACTTCACTGGTCATAAACCCATATACATGTGGCAGTGTGTCAAAACCTTGTACCCCTGGTGAACATCAAAATAGCTGGTAAATGGATGTTCATCCCTCTAAAAATGGTATCAATAGATATTGACCCATACCCATGTATGTATATACATACCCCTTCTTGTTGGTGAAGCCCCGCTGTTCAGTGCTTCAATTCAATTCCTGTTCAAAGAACTCCCTTTGTTCACCAGAACCACCACATATCTGGTACTGTTAAATCTGCCAAATCACTATACTGTTGGCCGGATTTGTCTGAAGCTAGGGTAAATCCCCGCTATTTTTGGACAGCCCCATTTCCATCACACCATTCATTGGTCAAAATTCGTTCAATAATATTGAATCACTCTCAATCCCTATTTTGGCTGGTGTCATACCTATTTCTTTCGCATGTTGTGTATAAATACATATATGTACATATCCATATATTTATATACATTGTCTATCATGTAATTATTTTATCCTTTGTATATATATATGTATAATGAACACAAATCATAAATGTCCCCCTTTCTGCGGGTGGCCGCAGCCGTTTTTTGTGCCTGTGCCTGGACGTCCAGCGGGCCCAGCACTGCCTGCGCCTCGCCTGGGGCATTGAATTCCAGGGGTTTGTTTAATTTATGGTTTTTATACAGGTTTTATACAGAATCTAAGCTATACATATTTTATATGGTGTTTAAAAGGTTTCTATGTGATTTTTGTATGATGTATATATGATTTGCATATATCTCATATGATTTATATATGTATACATACTATTTCATGTTTATATTATTGGTGTATCTGGATAAATTATAATAATGTGGTAAACCCAATGTCATACACCATCCCTAAAATCACCATTTTTATGTGTGGGATTCCAACCATCCCCAAATGGTAGGTTTATGGCATTGGGTTGGCCACATTTCGTAACATATCTATGGAACATGGCCCGTTTAGATACATTACATGATTAAAAAATATATACGATTCACCGAACTTAAAATTCAAAACGGTGATTTTTGATAGCTACGTTCAATATCATGAAATTACCAGAGGAATCCGGAGGAGATCTGTCTACTGTCCAACCCCAGCAGAAGCAGACAGGGACCGGTCTGTCCTGAGTGAGAAAGAATAGAAACACCTCCAATATACAAGGCTATTTTGGGATAGTTACCCCTACTAACTAACCATCATTCCAGTGAGTTCGCTGTGAGGTCGTCACAAGTTACTGTAACCAGATCTATATGATTCTATATGGTTTTTGTATGGTATATAATGGGAATTGATATCTTTATCCAGGTATCATTTCTATAAAGGGTTTATGAATGGCTTTATAGGGCTGCTGAATCCCAAACAAATAGTATATAATATGGGATGTTTCCTGAAATGGTGGTACCCCTAAATCATCCATTTTTTGGGTGATTTTCCAGCATAAACCAACCAGGGACCCTTCACGTTTCCATCTTTCTTGGGCTGCGGGCGCCATGGACGGACTGGTAAAGGAGTTCTTGTACCTGGAGAAGTGGCGGTGATCATGGGGATCGACATTGGGGATATCGTGGATTTATAGTGGATATACCCAGGAAAAAAGGATGAAACATACTGATTCAACCAACAAAAATTGTGATTTTACGGGATATAATGGGGATATCTTGGAAAGATAATAGGGATATATAGTACTATTACGGATACAATGGGGATATCATGAGATCTTACCCTCTGGTGTCATCAAACGTGGCTGGCAATAGGAATTCCCCGAACTAGCCATCGGTGTCTCTTTGGAGGATTCATCCCAGTGAGTACTGTAGTTCGTTCGTCAGTGGGTTAAGTTTACCCAGCCACAAATGGGACGAACATTCAACCTTTGCTTGAACCGTTTTGTAAGAGCAAATTGGACAAAAGTTGCCAAAAACAACACGAACATTAACCACCAGTAACCACCATTAAACCAACAGCAACATCGAGCCATATCTTGACCGGGCGACTGCTTCATGATGTCCTCAGACAACTTCATGTCCTGAAACCTGAGGCGGACGCTGGTTCGGCCTTTCACAGCGAAAGCAGCAGCAGCACATCTTAGGGGGTCAATAATATGTCAGACCGCCCCCAAGATCAATAAACATATAGAAATTCTAGAATAATATGAGGGTTTCCTGAAATAGGGGTACCCAAAATCATCCAAAATGAAACCATTTTAGTATTGAAACCATTTTGGTTTTGGGCTATCCCACTTTTAGGAAACTTCCATATAGAAATGTCTAGAAATGGATAGAAAACCCATGATGTCTACTGAGTAAAAGGGTGTGGTTCTTGGGATCTCATCCAGTTGCCATAAAATGTTGGGAAACCATAGGGAACATGCCCAGTTTTCAGTTTCCACCTGATGTTTGGATGAGCAAATCTGACCAAGTGTTCATCATCCGTTGCAGCAATTCTTCAGCCAACGATCCAACAGTGATCCTAGCTGGTTCGTATGTTATTTTGAATACAAAAAACACACACACACACAACTCACAAACAAGCAACTAGGATGAGACATCAACCAACTGTCATTTCAACTAGTTGAAACGATCATTTCAACTTGGAACGAAATATCGAAATACTTGAGACCACCAGCTTGTCAGCCAGGAGAAGTCCGCCACCCCCGTGCTTGGTGCTTGGGGTTGGGGTGATTGATCCTCTGCTACCGTTATTTATAATGTACGTACTATGTACTTGTATTTAATTACAGTATGTGTATTGTGTGATGTGTGGTCAGGCACAAAGGAGGTGAAAAGAAAAATACATGCTTCCAAATCATCCAGTATCTTGGTGATACGACTTCTCCAAAGGGATTGGCAGAAAATCAACGACAAACTATGCAACTACCATTGACATGTCATGGTAGGAAAAAAAAAAGTTCTCTGGAAATTTAGCAGATAGCCAAAAAAAAGTGGCACATATTAAATAGTTGATTTACCGAACTTAAACATGGTGATTTTCGATAGCTTTTTCTAAACGTTTACGAGGGTTCTCTGAGTCCCGACATTCCCTCCAACTTGGAGGTGTATTGATGACCACATTCACCTCGGTGGCGATATCTTGGTGACCTTGCCCCGCCGGGGCAAGGTTTGTGTTGAAAAGAAAAGACAAAAAAAACAAGAAAACATGGCAACCCCCATAAAATAATCCCAACATCCCCCATGATTTAGGATTTTACTGTTCTATCTTCTTTGGGGAGTGCTATAAACTATATCTTGCAGCTACACAGTGAACCTCTATAGTCGTGAACCCTAAACATTATCCCAAGCACCCTCGGTTTACTCACTGGAAAACCATTTTTCTAGTAGGAAAATAAGTTTACAAATCCACTTTCTATTGGTTTCTGAATATGATATAGTGTCAAAAGGGTATGTAGATTTGACCCACATAGACAATGTCATCACCAACCAAACGATGCTGCCCCCAACATTGTTTCATCATCGCTAGACTCTAGACGATATTCTTGCTGGTAACTTTCCCCTCTCTTGTATACCTTGCAGGCAAGTATCTCGAAGCCGATGGCAATAACGAACTCTAAGAGACATGCATTTGATGGCAGAACATATCGAAGGTTTGGTGGCCAAGAAGCATCAATTAAGGTAAAAGGATGTAAAAGGTCTATTGGGCATTTCACCACCAGGCCCCTTATGATTGAAATGTTTTTTTGAAAATCTGTATGCCATTTTTCTTGGTACATCCACAGGCCGTCTTTTCAGGTTGCATCACCACTTCTGTCCGATCAATCATTGTCGCGCGTCTTAAATCCTCACTTGTTTCGTTAACTCCCGTAGCTTTAGTTAAGCGCTTCAAAGTTGTTGTTTGTTAACGAAACTCCGTTTTGCTGGTGATTCAACACCATTTTTTGTTGCCTAAAATCTTAAATTGTTTGTTGGAAAACATGGTACCCCTAAAAGCCCAGGGTGTATCTTCATCACATGGCTATAAAAAGGGGGTTAGTTAATGCCCTCATTTTCAGGTCCGCAGCCAACTCCTGTTATTGATGCTTAAAACCCCATGAAATGGCTTCTCAAATCCCCAGAATGGCTTCTGAAATCCTCAGTATCTCACTATCCCAGAATATCCCATACCAGTAACACTCCATAAAAATCACCATGTTTGTTGGTTAAATATGGTTGAATCACCAGTTTCGATGCTTAAGTATGCTTTAATTTTAATCACCATTTTCGTTGGTTAGATATCCCCAGTTTTGATCGTAATATTCCATAAAATCACCATTTTCATAGGTAAAATCATCTTTTTTGCGCAAATCGATCCCAAGGGACTCTTGAGCTTGGAGATCATGCTCCTTTCCGCCTCATCGCTCACACTTCGACCTGGGAACCAGCGGAGATTTTGTTGATCATTTGAAGAACCAAAGAACAACGATAATGGAGAGATATAGTGGTTTCATGGGACACAGTGTATATATATATTATATTATATAGAGACAGAGAGACATATAATAATGGGAATGTACTGGGAATATCAGCAACCACAACAACAACCAAAGAACGATGATATTACCGATGATAGGAATTCTAGTAATAATGATGAAAACAACAACAACAACAACAACCACAACAACAAGAACAACAACAACAACAACAACAACAACGGCAACGGCAACGGCAACAGCAACAGCAACAACAACAACCACAACAACCACAACAACCACAACAACAACAACAACAACAACAACAGCCACAACAACCACAACAACCACAACAACCACAACCACGACAACCACTACAACCACGACCACCACGACCACCACGACAACCACGACAACCACGACAACCACGACAACCACAGCGACGGGGAAAGCAACACTGACAACCAAAACAGAAACAAAACAAGTTGCAATTACAAATGCAACTACAGTGCAATGACCACATTGATTGTGATTTGAACATGGTTGTTAGACCAACAAGACGTGATTTGACCTACAAAAACTAAGAATTGACCAACAACAATCAAAATATCATGGGAATCTTATCAACAACAACTGACAAATCTATCTATATATATAGTTTAATATCATGAGTATACACATATAGGGGGCAACCGACATGGCAATATACATCAACCTGTCCCAAAAATCGGGCCCAACTTGTCAACGGGCCAGCCGGCCTGTCAGCAAACGCCGCGACAAGTGCTGTTTGTAGAAGTTTTCAAAGACATCCTGCAGAGCAGCGCTTTCAGGGCTGAATCTCTATGGTGGTTTCGTGACAACGAAATCAGGTAGGACAAGCCAAAGGCGCGAACCTGCCAAAAATGGTGTGTCCAAAAAAAAATTAGGCGAAACTTCAAATTGCAAACTTCAAATTGCAGTGTATCATCATTATCCATATCAAAATTGCCATAGAAACTGGGGGTACTCTCCAGTAATCAAACATGGAGTGCTGGAGAATCTTCCATTTAGTTCAATGATCTCCCCATTAAAAACCTCCACTTACAGATGAATTTCCCACGAAATCCCCCATATTTGATAGTCAAACCCACGCTTTCCTGTAGATGTTCCCCTCATTTCTAGGGGATGTTCCATCAGCACTTGGAGCTGATCGACCAACAGCGTCCTTGTCTTGCAAGAAGCGGAAGACTGTGACAACCTGTCGATCAAAATGGCAAGGCTCTGCATGTGTTCTGTTCAAAACCTGCTGATTTAAAATGGTATATAAAAAGGGATGTCATGCCGATCCAGTGGGAATATGATGGGAATATCATTCGGAATATCATCATGATAGTACGTGGATATTACGGGGAGATTAGGGGGAGATTACGAGGAGATTATGGGATATTGAAATACTGCGCATTTCAGCAACAAATGTATACACATATAATATCCATACAGTAGGTACATATCCCACGACTTTTTGTTGCCACACAAACTTTGATCCAAATCATGTCTGAGCCTTTCTGATAGGATGCAACGGATGCAACCCCTACAACCCAATTCATTTGGCAAGGTAAAAATTGGGTACCCAATAATGGATGGGCAATGGCAATATATCTGTGGTCCACAAGGTCTGAAACTTTGACCCACACCCATTTATTGATTTCAACGATCATTTGATGGATTTATGTGCAGGAAAGAAAAGGCGTTTGACCCCCCCAGACATCAGGGTTTCAGATTGTTGGTTGCATGTGTATGTGTATATAAATATATGAATATATGAATATATGAAAATATAAATATATAAATATATAAATAAATATGTATGTATGTATGTGTGTATGCATGCATGCATGCATGCATGGATGGATGGATGGATGGATGGATGGATGGATGGATGTGATATCACTTCATCCTCAAATTTAGTGATTGGTTACCTTCTAGTAAGTAATCTAGCATTGCTATGCAGAACCACCACGTTTAAAAGGTACACCATCTAGACACGGCTATTTCCTCGGCAAACTATCAGCTTACCAGGGGGTACATGGTTAAATCACCACTGCCTATCGTTAAATCACTATTTTTCATGGTGAAATTTACCCCCTGTTGATAGATAAATTACTATTTTTGATGGTGAACTCACCTCTTTTGATGGATAAATAACTATTTATGATGGTTAAACGGTTAAATATGTTAAATCACCCCTTTTGATGGAAACATCAATATTTTTCATGGTTAAGTCCTCACTTTTGATCGTTAAAATCACCACTTTCTATGGTTCAATTCCCCCCAGTTCCCAGTTCGTCGCCTGCTCCAGGGCCGTGTCGACATCTGCGTCGCTGGACATTCCCTTGAGACCCTTACGGAACCTGAGAACTCAGCGAGGTGCGTGGAAGCACCAACTATTGCATGTGGGGATTATGTGATATAATATGTATACTGATGCCATCATTACCAGCTTAGGGCAAGTCGGAGTTTTTCGATCCAGAGGCTACGTGGTTATGATAACTTGTTCCAGCGTACTTAGAGTGTCACAGTAGTATTGCTTATGTGGTGTGGAAACCAGGACTCGAACCATTATGTGAATGACCAGAACTTAGAACGATAACACCCCAGAATGGTAGCGAGGTATCGGAAGGTAATTGCTATGATTCGCTGGGATTGTAGTCGTTGTAGTCATTCTAAATAGTGGGTATCAAATTTTGGAAAATGAACATGACAGAACATCCTAAGTTCCGGTCTGTCAGTATGGGATCCAGCAGAGGGGGTAGCCGGGTAGCCCAAAGGCCGCAAACCTGGTGGAAACCTGGGTACTTTGCTGCTGACATCCTCAAACTGAACAGAAATGACCAAGTGGGTGTTTTAAAAAAACCGTTACCACAAAATGTTGATGGTTGAAAGCACCGGTTTTTCCATTAAAAAATGGCAATATCGGCCCCATGTTCCACACCCGAACCATCCCACAGCCCAAGTCGCTGGTCATCCACATACAGTGACAAGTATTGCGCCGTGCGCGTGTCCTGGGAGTAGTGGGGATATCTTGGGGGGCAAAAATGTCACAAAGTGACATATACACATTCTCTGTTCTGATCATGTTTTTTGTTCAACTTGTTTGATGAATCCATGAAATAATCTATTGCAATCAAGTTATTTACCACAAAACATGCATTATTTGCAATCATTTGCAAGCACATGGCACCACTACTTAGTTGGGTGCGACTCCAAATCGTAAGTCCCAACATTCTTTAATGGTTTCCATGGTTTCAATGCCTGTACTGCGAAATAGGAGTGTTCCATATTCTTCTGCCCCATGGTTGCCGATGTTTTGAACGTCTATGACTCCATTCCCAAGGGAAGTCTTGGCGACCTGCCTTGTTCAGAAAGGACTCGAAGGCTTGTTTCAAGGCCAACTGAAAGTCCTCCATTGGGCTGGCATCCCCCCCACCTTTTGTCAAACTCTAGGAGTTAAACTGGGGAAAATGGTCGTCCAAAAACGAAGGCCCAAGAAGCTGCTTCAGAGGGATGTCTTTGAGACTGGAGATGCGCTGCCTATATCTCAGTGGATTGGTTTTCTTGGGAAAATCTGCCAGAAACCACGTTTTTGCCAGCAATTATAGAGGTTCCTGCAATTTTTTCCCATCATCCCAGACGATCCTGAAATCAAGAAACGCAGTGGATGGTGGTGGACAAAAAGTTGCGTATAAAATTGAACTGCACAGGTCATATTCGAAACACACGTCGACTTGGATGGATGGATGGATGGATGGATGGATAGATAGATAGATAGGTAGGTAGGTAGGTAGGTAGATACACCCAAAAGCTGCAAAGGCGTAGCAAGGAGTCAATTCGATCAGCCACCAATGTCAGGAAAAACAACAGATTTCTGATAACCATGACAGTTCAAGCTATGCTGATCAAAACAAACAAACTCTCTAGAGCATATACATATGTAAATCATGTTGGGGTCAACTGCACCCAAATCTCGCAAGTCCTTGCTCTCTTTGAAGGATTCCTTCACAAACCTGTCGTACCTGGTGTTGGCACAAACCTCTCGAGATGGGAGGGCTGATGGACTGAATGAAACATAGTGACAGTTTCAAGAGTGGCCACCCTAAGGAGTAACCAAACATGGCTGGGGAAGTCCCATGTTTCATGGGAAAATATTTATATAATTTTATATACATATACAGTGCGTGTGTATATATGTACAGAGAGGGTTTCCTAAAATAGGGGTACCCACAAATCATCCTAAATTAGACTATTTTAGTATTGAAACCCATGGTTTTGGGGATTCCCCCATTTTAAGAAACCTCCATATGTACAGTAAATGATCAGCAAATGAGTACATTTTGTGATTCTTTGCAACACGCGTGCCCTCAATCAAATCCGGTCAGGAAACCTCGGATTTCGCGATTTTAGTCTAGGTAATCTACAAATATGCCTATTGCGTGTTTATGTTTGTATGTACCATATTATAAGATCCATAGACCATCTGACTATCCCCAAAGCAACATAGATCCTGAAATCCCCCATCCCAAGAGGAAAGTGTTAGTTGGGGATAGTGTTACTTAGGGATGGTGTATTTGCCTGTTGTAGGTCAGCTTTTACATGTTATCACCATTCAAGTTGAAATACGTTTAACCCCGCTTAGCCACTGCCCAAAATTTGCCCGCGGAGACGTGTGCGGCACTTGTACTTCAGGTTCAAGATCGCTGTGATGAAGGACACTGGGTCCTTCACTTTCTCCGGGTCATTTAACACATCCCGTCCTGCAGGAATGGGCTAATCAGAGCAAGGTCAGGGCAAGGGAAGAGGAAATTTCATGACTTGCCAGGTGATAACCAGCACCTGCTGATCTTAGTCTGATGGGTATTTTCAAGCATCCGAAAAAGGGTATTAGCCATGATCATCCCAGAGATGAACTGAAACAGCTCCTGCTTCACACATGCAGTCCATCATCACCTGGCGATCGCTGCATGGGTACTGCAACACAGGTGAAACGATAGAACCATCTAAGAGTCAGGAGAGCAAATGAGCCCATCCCCATCCATCCCCACATTTTTTTTGAAATATGAATTTTGAGAGCCCATATTGGGGTATTTATATAATATTGCGGGGATGACAACTAGAGGATTTTACACTTCAACCCGATTTTGAACCAGCTTAAAGATCTCGAGTCTCCCATGTTCAAGTTTCTGCTGGAGATGGCCCTATTCCACATTCTTCCATCCATCATTTTGGCGCAAGCAATCCATGGGTACGCGACCAATAAGAATGGCGAATATCACTCCAGCAACTAGGGAAGCAGACCATCGTTTTTAAGCATCGGACTCCACTAATTTGAGGAAGTATGCTCGTATACAACAATTTCTCTGGGTCCCCAATGTTCAGAAACATCCAAAGGGAATCTTCAAACCCGCATTTCTTTTAAATACCCCTTGAACATGCTGTATATACATGTATATACCCTCTGGCAATCAAACCTAGCAATGGAAATCCCCTATTTATTTTCCATTAAAGTTAAAACCTCCATTTATAGAGAACTTCCGATTGCCACGTTTGATTACCGGAGGGTAACCGCATCTCTCTATAGACACGGTTTAGGATTCACCGGCAAAGACTGCAGATGTCATCTCTGATGTGGTTTCGAATTGAGAACTAATTGTTCCCCACTTATCGACTATTGGGGGGCCATTATAAATCAGCAAAAAATAGAGGTCCTCAATCAATGGCTTACCATGTTTTATCCAGATTTGATCCACTATATCCCAATTATATCTCATATATTATCTCCATTTGTCCAGATACTATCCCATATGTTCCATTTTGTTGGTTAACGTTGGTTCTATATCCCCAACATATCCCGCCCCATTATAAGCATATCATCTCCACCATTTTAACTTCCCATTTTTATCCTATGGGTCCCCCACACCATCCGTGCACTTGGCTTGAGCCCGATGATCCTCTTCAAACCCGGTGAAATCATCTTTACTTTCGGCTCCATCCCGCAAAGGAATATTCACAAAGAGATTGATGCCCCTTAGACTTTCCGGGGTAGAACGGCTAAACGATTCTTGGGAATGCTTATATAATCGATACATACTCAAGTGACGGTGGATAAACCTATATAATCCTCTATATTATATAATATATATATATATGATATATATATAATAAGCTTCCAAACCGGCAAAAACTCAAGGCCATACAAAATACCCGCGGTTTCCTGCAAAACCTTGGATATGTTCAACCCATTCTGAAAGTACGGGTTAGTAATTACCGGTAAAGTACGGGTTCAGTGCGGGTCAAATACGGGTTTAAGAACCAAAACCCGAGGTTTCCCCCAAAAAACTGAGGTTTTCCATGGTTTTCCTCGACATGTGGAAATGCCCGCGGCTTTTCTTGCACCCGTAGAATTCTACAGGTTTTGGTGCTACAGTAGGTATGGGTATGAATCAAAAATATTTTTTTGGGTAGATCGTTCCACGGCAATTCAAGGGTATGGAGTGGGCCCCAGGGTCTGATCCGATTTTGACTCGTGCCCAAATGAACTGATTCTCTTGAGGTCCCTGTTGTTATTGCAGTATGGGTGCCGCATTTTCCAAACTGGTTATATACTTATATACACATCAATGCAATGTACTAAAATATCATATCACATACTTTGTCGTATCTGATCTTTGTACTTCAACAGCGACAGTGGAATTCACGCCTTAGAAGCAACATTGTGAGATCCACTGAGCCATTTCAAGCCAAGTCAATTGTCCATCCTGATTCTTTGGCAGGAATCTGTCGTATTACCTACTGATCTACTGAGCAAAAACCATCAAAAACCCACATACGGCTCGATTCAATGCTCTTAACTCTTAACATAGGGGGTATCAAAAAAAAACATGTCTGTTGAAAAACACATGTGTGGTTCACTTCATGAAAAAAGATGTGCTTTGAAATGTTGCACCACCAAATGCTAGACTAGGCAGTATATAATATTATAATATATATATAAGCCTGACGGAGAGTTGCCTTTTTCATGCCATTTCTGCTCCAAACCATACAAAGAGAGTTCAATCGCTCCACAGGCTCTTGGCCCAGCTTTCCCTTTGCTTTCATGTTGCGCTGCCTTTGAACCCAGATGCCAAGTTTGCCACCGTCAGCGGTCTCGAAATGGAAAGGAACCCTCACATGACCATGTTCAGCATGGTATGCAGTCAGATTGCGGAAGCCCAGCTCCCAATCCTCAGCGAGTGGATCCCAAACCATACACAGAGAATTCAAGCGCTCCGCACGCTCTTGGTACAGCTTCCCCTTTGCTTTCATGTTGCGCTGCGTACCAACCCAGGTGCCAAGTTTGCCACCGTCAGCGGTCTTGAAATGGAAAGGAACCCTCACATGACCATGTTCAGCATGGTATGCAGTCAGATTGCGGAAGCCCAGCTCCCAATCCTCAGCGAGTGGATCCCAAACCATACCAAGAGAATTCAAGCGCTCCACACGCTCTTGCCCCAGTTTTCCCTTTGCTTTGATGTTGCGCTGCGTACCAACCCAGGTGCCAAGTTTGCCACCGTCAGCAGTCTCGAATTTTTTGGGAACCCCAACATGTCCATGTTCAGCATGGTATGCAGTCAGATTGCGGAAGCCCAGCTCCCAATCCTCAGCGAATGGATCCCAAACCATACACAGAGAATTCAAGCGCTCCACACGCTCTTGGCACAGCTTCCCCTTTGCTTTCATGTTGCGCTGCGTACCAACCCAGGTGCCAAGTTTGCCACCGTCAGCGGTCTTGAAATGGAAAGGAACCCTCACATGACCATGTTCAGCATGGTATGCAGTCAGATTGCGGAAGCCCAGCTCCCAATCCTCAGCGAGTGGATCCCAAACCATACCAAGAGACTTCAAGCGCTCCACACGCTCTTGCCCCAGCTTTCCCTTTGCTTTCATGTTGCGCTGCCTTTGAACCCAGCGACCAAGTCTGTCACCGTCAGCAGTCTCGAATTTTTTGGGAACCCTAACATGTCCATGTTCGGCATGGTATGCAGTCAGATTGCGGAAGCCCAGCTCCCAATCCTCAGCGAGTGGATCCCAAAGCATACCAAGAGAATTCAAGCGCTCCACACGCTCTTGGCACAGCTTCCCCTTTGCTTTGATGTTGCGCTGCGTACCAACCCAGGTGCCAAGTTTGCCACCATCAGCGGTCTCGAAATGGAAAGGAACCCTCACATGACCATGGTCAGCATGGTACGCAGTCAGATTGCGGAAGCCCAGCTCCCAATCCTCAGCGAATGGATCCCAAAGCATACCAAGAGAATTCAAGCGCTCTACACGCTCTTGGCACAGTTTCCCCTTTGCTTTCATGTTGCGCTGCCTTTGAACCCAGATGCCAAGTTTGCCACCGTCAGCGGTCTTGAAATGGAAGGAAACCCTGATATGCCCATGTTCAGCATGGTATATTGTCAGATTGCAGAAGCCCAGCTTCCAATCCTCAGCGAATGGATCCCAAACCATACCAAGAGAATTCAAGCGCTCCACACGCTCTTGCCCCAGCTTTCCCTTTGCTTTCATGTTGCGCTGCCTTTGAACCCAGCGACCAAGTCTGTCACCGTCAGCAGTCTCGAATTTTTTGGGAACCCCAACATGTCCATGTTCAGCATGGTATGCAGTCAGATTGCGGAAGCCCAGCTCCCAATCCTCAGCGAGTGGATCCCAAACCATACACAGAGAATTCAAGCGCTCCACACGCTCTTGGCACAGCTTCCCCTTTGCTTTGATGTTGCGCTGCGTACCAACCCAGGTGCCAAGTTTGCCACCATCAGCGGTCTCGAAATGGAAAGGAACCCTCACATGACCATGTTCAGCATGGTATGCAGTCAGATTGCGGAAGCCCAGCTCCCAATCCTCAGCGAATGGATCCCAAACCATACCAAGAGAATTCAAGCGCTCCACACGCTCTTGGCACAGCTTCCGCTTTGCTTTGCTGTGGCGCTGCTTACGAATCCAGGTGCCAAGTTTGCCGCCGTCAGCAGTCTCGAAGTTGCTGGGAACCCTAACATGTCCATGTTCAGCATGGTATGCAGTCAGATTGCGGAAGCCCAGCTCCCAGTCCATGGAATTTGTCTTGAAGAGTGATGGAAAAACGCGGAGACGCAAAAGGCGGGCTGCTTCTTCAATAGGGTCATGGTTCTGGCTGTTCAAATGCTTCGAATACACCGAAATCCTCGAGTTGACACTTGCATCTTTGAGGGTCTGACTTATAGACGTTCTCAAAAGCAGGTCAGCTTGCGCAAGCTCCATCAACAATCGTCCCAACTCAATGTCCTCAACCAACGTCCCATCCTCAACCTGCGACAGTGGAGGTGCAATGACCATGGCATCAATCTTGCGCGGATGCTTCCGCAAGACTCTTCCCACACACTGGCGCAGGCGCACCGCATGTCTCGGTGCCACGAAGAGGCAGGTATCGGCACATGGCAGGTCAACCCCTTCACTCAGGACATCCACCGTGACCAAAACCCTGATCCCTCCATGTGCTGGGCTCCGACCAAAGCTTCGCAAGATCTGTTGACGATGTGCTTTGGATGTGTGGCCATTGTAATGATCGGCAGGGATGCCTTTGCTGTTAAGGAGCCGTGTGAAATATCTTGCCTCGTCAACGGTGTTGCAAAATGCCAGGATCTTCCTTGCCATCGGCAGGTCCTGAATAAGTTCCACCAAACCGGGCCGTGGATCACCTGCAGTGAGAATTGGCACCATCACACTGTAGTCGCTGATAATGCCAGCCTCAATGGCAGGACGGAGGCCAAACTCAAAGTCGGGTTTGTTTCTCAGCAAGGTTGCACTGAAGAAGATCCTTTTCTTGGCATCCAACCCCAGCACTTGCATCGCATGAACACCATCTACAGTTTCATTCCCTGAAGCATCTTCTGAGCTGGGCTCGTAGTGATGAGCTTCATCCAAAATCTGCAGTTCGAAGGTCAAATTCTGCAGCTGCCAGGCCGAATTCCGCACACACACGAAGAGCTGCGCTGACAAGTCCGCAGGGTATCCCGTGCCCACACGGGAGATTCGAAATGGCAACGTCTCTTCCAGCAGATCGGCCAGTTGCTCCATCAGATCCAACTTTGGGACGATGATGCATGCCTTCCCTGGGCCCAGGCCCAAGCCAGCCAACAAGTCTGTCATGACCAAGCTCTTCCCAGTGCCAGTGGCCATTTCAACAAAGAAGTCCTGTTGGGTGGTGGCTTCTACCCATTTGCCAAACTGGCCGTTCAGTCGGTACAAATATGCAAAAGAATGCACAATATCATTTGACAATTTTCCCATGTTGCCAAGTAGGAGTCTGAACTGTAATACAAGTCGAACAATTGGTACTTCTTACTTGAATTTTATATAACTTTATACTACTCACAAAATCTCACAAATACACAAACGGCTTCGAAATCAGCACCCAGTCCCGCTTGGAGTTGGTCAGAAACTTCTGGCATTGAGCCAGGCAGGCGAGTTGATGAGGCCAGCGCTTCAGGTCCTGAAACCATGGTGGCTGCAAGGATAGGCCAAGAATGGGAACCCTAAAGGTGCTACAGGTCATTGAAAATCCGCAAGTTTTTGATGGCCTTGTTCTAGTATGGATGCTGGGAATAGTAAGGTACAAAGTCATGTATGGAGTAACTGGGATTACATGAGGGCTGGTTTGAACCATGTGCGTCTCAGAGATCGATCAATCTTGATTGGCACAAAAGAAGGCTTTACTAATTAATATACCATCATATTTTCCCTGCCATAATGCATGATCAATTCTGGGTCAAACTTACAGTAGGCACCCCAAAAAAATGATGATGCAGGACTGTGGATCAAACCCCTGTTCCTTGGTGAACATCGAAATAGCTTACATTGCTTTTGCGATTCATTCCCCAAAATATCAGTCCTGGAGTTGTGTCAAAATTTGGAAACCAGACTCTCAAGGTCGGTTTGTCATCATTTCACCCAATTCACAATTGCCATGTTCGGGCACCCCCCACTCTCACACGAATCGAGGGTATCAGATTCTGACCCAGCCCAAAATATTTACGAACTGCCCGAAATGCTTACTTACCCCGGTCCTTTTTCCCAAGCTCCAGCATCACGTCTTTCGCTGACTCGTTTCTTGCAAGCTCTCGCCACCTGGAGCGGTTGAAGCGATTGGATGCGCCGAGCGCAAACCATTCCCATCCTGTCCGGGTGCCTTTAAAACATGCAATTCAAACTTACAACCAAAATGTTCTGCTCAGCGATTGCCATTCCTGGCAAAGATTCTGGGAGACCCCAGTTGGAAGTGCCCAATTCCCACCTCTCGATCTCATCCTGCGTGTAGCGTCGGTGCTTTGCTCCGCTCCATTCCCAGTCCTGCGGC